CATCTAAGGGCAACCCTAGGCAGTGAGTTGGAGGGCAGGACATGACCAAGCCATCGCCAGCGTCTTGTTTGGATGGTCTGTGATATTGTAGACATCCCAGTTCTTTCCAACAGTTCTTCATTCGAGATGGTGTTTGGCAAAAAGATCTTGAGAATACGTCTGAGGGATTTGGTTTGAAAGACTTCTAGTTTTCTTTCAATCGCCAAAGAGATTTTCCTGCACTCTGATCCATACAAGAGGACACTGCTGTTGAAGATCCTGATCTTGGTGCAGATGTTAAGTGCTGTGGATCTCCATATGGCTTTCAACATTGCAAAAGCCTGATTTGCCTTGCTAATCCTGGTGTTGACTTCCTTGTCACAGTCGCCCGTTGTAGTGACCTTGCTACCCAGGTATGTGAACTCCTCAACATCCTCTAGTGGCTTACTGTTGATCAGTACTGGATTACTGCTAGTGGTGTTTACTCGTAAAACCTGTGTCTTTTTGGTGTTGACCTTCAATCCGATTTTGTTTGATCTTGCACTGAGGAGCTCTGTCTTCTGCTGAATATCCTGATGTCTGTTTGATAGGAGGCCAATGTCATCAGCATAATCAAGGTCCTCTAGGATTGAGGTCAGTGTCCACTGCAATCCCTGTCTTTTGCCTTGTGTGGTGTTCTTCATAACCCAGTCAGTTGCAAGTGAAAATAGCACAGGTGACAGAATACATCCTTGCTTCACTCCGGTGTTCACTGCAAAGGGCTCCGTGAGCTGGCTGTTATGTTTCACTCGGCACTCAAAGTTCTCGTAGAGGGACTGGATGATATGAACCAGTTTCTGTGGGATGCTGTAGTGACGCAGGATCTTCCAGAGAGACTCACGGTGTAAGCTGTCAAAAGCCTTCTCAAAATCAACGAATACAGCATAGAGTGTGCTATTCCATTCACATGACTGCTCCAGTATCTGTCGTAGTACAAAATATGGTCAATACAGGATTTCCCTTTTCTGTATGCGGCCTGCTCCTGGCGAAGTATGTCATCTACAGCAGCTGTCGTGCGTTATAGTATGATGTGGCTGAAGACCTTGCTGGTGAGAGAGAGGAGTGTAATCTCACGCCAGTTGTTGCAGTCTCCAAGGTCACCTTTCTTGGGCAGCTTAATGATGACCCCTTCGTTACAAAGTACATGTAAAATCTTATCTTTTGCCATGAGTTATAGTTTGCAAACATATACGGCGTTACAGTGAGGACATATCTACACGGACGCCATTTTTGTTTATAATACATGAGGAAATAAGGTGCAGACTTAGTAAAATCTCTCCTGGGCTTTGATAGTTATCTTAAGATGTACGAAATAATGCAGGTTTCCTCTACAGTATCCTTCTCTGTCCTCCTGTCATGAATTGTTACTATTTTATTATTCCTAACAACGATTTTTTTTTACCCCTTCTTTAGCTCAAGTGTCGATAAAACGTGCCATTTTCGATAGATACAATGTAAGTTAACCGCTTTTGAAGTATTTAAGAACGCTGTTATTGCCAGATGCAAGTCAAAGCAAACTTTATCCAAAGCGGTATTCATTTCTGGTAACGTGCGTTCAGTTTATGTACATTAGTGTTTTCTTTCAACCTTGTCCTCGATAAAATATTAATATTCTTCAGAGTAAATTATTGAACAATATTTACATTCAACATGTATGTTGCTTATAAAGTGTGAGGAAAGCTACGGTATTCAAAACACCATAACACGGTCAAGAGGTTAAAGTATGCGTTTTATTTTGACGTCACAAACGTTGAACGCAGTGGAAGTGCAACGTCTTAAGCGAAAATCAAAATTCACGCTCACATTGAACAGAAGCTGTTGCATTAATTGTAATTTACGCTAAGGATAATAGAAGGATTTTGAAATATAAATCACATTTGCAGTCAAGGCAAGGGGTTAAAAAAAAATGTAAATATAAGCATTGAATCTTTTTTTTTTTTTTTGGAAAGATATAGTCTCAAAACTGCAACGGTGTGTGCAAACAAATTTTCAATGTTACTCAATGTGTTTGTACACACCGTTGCAGTTATAGAGACTATGTCTTTCAAAAAATTGGAGAATAACTATCTTCTAATTTGGTATTTGCGACTGTTAATACTGATTTAACGGTCGCAAACTGAGTTTTACCGGCGACACGTAAGCGAAGCCGGTAAAACGGATGTTTGCGACAGTTAAATCAGCATTAACGGTCGCAAATACCAGATTAGAAGATAGTTATTCCCATTCTAATGCAATTTATGCCTTTTGGTTGATGTTTACGTCTTATTTTGTTGAGTTTTGTTATATGAAATACGTCACGGAGTGTTGTGTTTTTGCGACGCCCTATTATGACGTCACAATCAAAGGTTTTCACTCTGGTTAATGCTCGTTTAACTGCCTCAAACATCATTGCATTAGCCAATCAAAATTCAGGTTACAAAACAATTGCATTAGAATAATGACTCAATGCTTAAAGGTCACGTGCTACCCATAGTGTTGGCTTGATGACGTGACCTCTACGTATGGAATAGTATACTGAACACGCAGGATTACGACGTCGTTAAAGGAGTCTCTGCGTCACAAATTTACTATTTTGACGTCACAATAAACGCATATTTCCCTGATTGTTATATTTTCTGTACAACGCCATGGATTTCAACCTTTCCTTAGGGCCCTGTCACACCAAGCTGCGTCCACAAGGAGTCATTATGGCGTTGTGAAAATGTTAAAATCGCAGTGGAATCGCAGGGAAATCGCACAAATTTCTGTAAAACTTTTACAATGTGAAGATGTCACGGCATCCCTACGGCGACGCACGCGTTTCTACGGCGTTCTCGCGGCGTGCTACTGCGTTCCCAACGGAGATCTCTTCGAGATTGACTGCGCTTCCGCGGAGCTTTTACGGCGTGTTAGGAGTTGTCACCTAGCGTTCACGGCGTTCTCACTGCGCTTGCTGCGTTCACAATACGTCCACGATGCGTTCTTCACTATGGATATATATTCTTCAGGAGTTTTTTTTTTAAAGATTCGAGTCACATAACAAAAAGACTTCAAAAATGATATATTTGAATAATTTAGTACTAAATTACTGTTAGTTTTATAATTAAAACCCTTATTTTTTCAATTATATCAATTCAGATGTGTTTTTTCTTTGATTTTATTATGAATGTAAAAAAAAATAAATGAAAAGTTGTTATAAAATTTAAGTAATTCCATCGCAACTCCACTGAAACAACAGAACAGGTTCTGGTGTAATTTTTACTTCCCAATTCTACTCCCATGCTCCTGGCCAGGAGTGCAACAAATACGTTAGAATTATTGCTGATCAAATATGAGGCCATTGCTCTCGTTTTGTGAGCTGGCTGACAACGCTCTAACAACGCCGTGAAAGCGCATTGTGATCGCCAACGTACGCGGTAGAAACGCCAAGGGAGCGCAATGATCGCAGTGACAACTCCTTGTTGTCGCTGTGTAATCGCAGTCAAAAAATCACAAGACAATTAATCTCATTAGAAGCGCCGTAAAGCGCGATAGAAACGCCGTGACGTCTCCAAGGACTCCGCGAGGTCTCCGTGGAAGCGCAGTCTACTATCACTGCGTTCATGCTGCGATCATGTGCGTCTTCACGACGTGCGTACGGAGCTCCCACTGCGTTGTTGGAGATCTCACCGCGCTGCTACGGCGATCATACTACGTTTCTACTGCGTTCTTATCAGATGGCGATCACACGGCGCGTACTTTGTGCATGCCCAAAGTGCGCGCCGTCCCCTGGCGTTCTAGGAGACTCTACGCGACCCTACTGCGTTCAGTGGAGATCTCGCCGCGTTGTCACGGCGCTGTAGGAGACTCTACTGCGCTCACCTCGGCGTTTTGCATTTTTTATGGACGCCGTGCAATCGCCGTGAGGACGCAGTCCAGGTGTGACAGGGGTTTTACTTAATGGCGATCAGCAGATCTTTTGACTGTGGCACCTAGACTATCACATGGTCCCTTCCCATGTTCTACTTCTAGACAATCCCATTTAACTTGTTTCAACAGTTTCTTGTCGTCGCAAAAGAAATCATAATATAGTTTTCTTCTTATTTAAGCATTGAATCATTATTTTTTGAAAGATACAGTCTCATAACTGCAACGGTGTGTGCAAACAAATTGTGTAACGCGCATCAGCGCGTTATGAAAATTTGTTTGCACACACCGTTACAGTTATGAGACTATATCTTTCAAAAAGTAATGATTCAATGCTTACATTTACATTTTTAACTCCTTGCCTTGACTGTGAATGTGATTTATATTTCAAAATCCCTGTATTATCCTTCGGGTAAGTTACATTTAATTGAAGAGCCATTGCAACAGCTTCTGTTCAATGTGAGCGTGAAATTTGATTTTCGCTTATGATATTGCACTTCCACGGCGTTAAACGTTTGTGACGTCAAAATAAAACGCATACTTTAACCTTTTGACCTCCTGTCCGTGTTATGGGCTTTTGAAGTCGTAGCTTTCCTCATATTTTATAAACAAAATACATGTTGAATGTAAATATATTGTGATGAAACTGGTGAAGCTATTTGATAATTGACATAGCATAACTCTCCATGCTCTTCTTTCACTATTGTTGAAGAATACTCGAATTTAATCCGTTTTCCAAACTTTATTACATGTAACAGGCATAACAGCTTACATCAACATAACGTTACATGCTTCCACACCGATCTCCTGACTGCACGCACTACCCATGCTAATACACACTGACACATGACCAACACTAAGAAACATAACTCTTGCACACAAACTCTTACACACAATACACATTCAGAGTTACTTCCCTTAGATAATATCAATCCACTACAATACCCTCTTTTCTAGAATAAACTTTTAGAATTCTCAAAAATAAAATGAATTACTGGAAAGAAATTACTGTCCAAAATATTGTTAGAAAACATTTACAATATACAGTCTTAGATATAGAGAACTTACAATCAATCACATTCGCACGGAAATAAGTTTCACATTTCAAAGTCCTCCAAACGTTGCGGTAATTTCCTAATACGGGTCGACCTTCTCAGTTTCGGAGTTACTGGAGCAGAAGACGGAACATCGTCACTGTTATCTGTAGACTCAACACTCGGTTCACTAGGAGTCTCTGGAATATCAGATGCACTTTCCGGTTCCTGATATTTTCTAACAAATTCACTATTTCGCTTAACTAAAACTCCCTCCGATGATTTTACGACACAACTGTTTCCCGTTTTCTGTACAAGTTTATACGGCTCAGCATGATACGGCGTATCCATTTTATCCTTGACTGCTTTCTTCATTAGGACCGAGTCTCCTGGCTCTAAATCACAATCCACTGCACCACGTTTCTTGTCGATATAAAGCTTGTTTTTGTATTTGGAATACACATCCTTATCACGCACTCCCTCATCATAAACATTTTCTTGTAGATTTTCTACTTGCAGTAGCTTTGTTCTCAGTTTACGACGGAACATCAATTCTGCAGGTGGTACTCCTGTTGTATTATGAGGAGTCGTTCTGTATGCAAATAGATATTTGCGGACTTCTGTCTTCCAATTCTTAGACTCTGCTTGTGCTATCCGAATTCTTTTCATCAATGATCTGTTTTGTCTCTCTACCTCCCCGTTTGCTGATGGATGTAATGGTGTAACTGCTCGGTGCTTGATACAGTTATCTGTCAAATAGTCCTTGAATAACTTAGATATGAATTGAGGTCCATTGTCTGAAGTTATTTGTAGAGGAAGTCCATGTTGACAAAACATTCCCTCCAGTATATCAATGATTTTCTCACTTGTAATATCCTTGGTAATTTCAATCTCATAGTATCGGCTGTAATAGTCAACAACAACTAACACATACTGTCCAGATGTTAACGGTCCAAGAATGTCAATTGCCAATTCTTGCCATGGTCCTGTTGGAAAGGGTGTTGGACTGATTGGTTCTGGATTCGGAAATGCACTGTTAATCTGACATCCATGACACGATTTCACATACTTCTCCACTTCCTTATCCATACCAGGCCACCAAACTTTAGTTCTTAACTGCTGTTTTGTTCCAACAATCCCTAAATGACCCTGTACTCACTGCTTCCTCAGATTTCTCGGAACCACTATTCTGGATCCACGTAACACCACGTATCCAATACAACAAAGTTCATCTCGAAATGGGTAATAATCAACACATAACTTCTCCCACTTCCCCTCCTTGATAAAATTCCGAATTCTAATAAGTTCTTCATCCCTCCTTGAAGCTTCTTCTACTTTATGAGTGGACCGTGCCTGAGGAGTTGCCTCCCTTGCAATAAATTTCAGATATTGCTCAGGGTTCCATGAATTACTGTTTTCTATAGGTGTCTTGTCCACCAAACGTGATAATGCATCTGCGATATTCTGATGCCTAGGTGAATACCGCACTTTGAAGTTGTAAGCCATAAGTTTTAATAGCCATCGTTCAATTCTTGCATTAGGTCTGGATTTTCTCCCATAAAGCACTTCCAATGGCTTGTAGTCTGTGATTAATTCAAAATCAACCCCGTATAGATAGATATGGAACTTCTCGCATGCCCATACAACTGCCAAAGCTTCTTTCTCTATTGTCGAATAATTGTGTTCGGCCGCTGACAATGTACGACTAGCATAACTGATGACCCGTGTTTCACCCTTGTTAACTTGAAGTAGGACAGCACCAAGGCCTACATTGCTAGCATCTGTCACTAACTGAGTTTTTTCTGCATCTAATCTGTAATGCCCCAAAGTTCTCACATTTGACAAACAACTCTTTAAAGTGTCAAACTTTTCTTCTGTTCAGCTGTCCAGACAAACTCCACATTTTTCTTTGTCAATCTTCTGAGTGGTTCTGCCACAGTAGCGAGATTTGGTATATAACGAGCACTAAAGTTTACAAGTATGAGGAAACTTTTCACTTCAGATCCATTTGTTGGCTCTTTAGCGTTGAGTAATGACTTGATCCTTTCACTAGTAGGTACTATACCATTCTTTGACAAGACATGTCCCATGAATGTTATTTTATTCATCCTAAATTCACACTTGTTAAGATTTAGTGTCAATCCTTTATCCTTGAGTCTCTGTAAGCCTTTGCGAAGTCGCTCATCATGTTCTGCTTTGTCCCTACCATAAATAACAATATCGTCTGAAATATTCTGTACTCCTTCACAGTCATGAAACACTTGTGAAATCACTTGCTGAAATTTCTCTGGAGCTGATGAAATGCCAAACATCAGTCTTTTATATCTGTAGAGACCTTTGTATGTAACGAATGTAGTGATCTCCCTTGACGACTCTTCCAGCTCAATTTGATGGTATCCACTTCTAAGGTCAAACTTACTAAAAACTTGGCTACCATTCACCATGTAGAGTATGTCATCCACTGTTGGAATAGGATGCCGTTCACGAATTATGGCAGCATTGGCCTGTCTCATGTCGACACACAATCTAATGTCACCACTGGGTTTAGGTACGATAATGACTGGACTGACCCACGGTGTAGGATCATTAACTCTTTCAATGATATCCTGAGACTCGAGTTCATCCAACTGTTCTCCTACTTTATCCCTCAAACTGTATGGAATTCTGTACATAGCTTGTGCTACTGGTTTCACATTCTTATCAATATGTAATTTCAACTTAAAGTCTTTTAGTTTTCCTATTCTTTGAAAACACTCGGAATATTCATGAACAATGTCAGTTGGCTGAACTGTGTTGACTCCAAGTTTCAAAACTCCTAAATTCAAAGCAGTGTCCTTGCCTAGTAATGCCGGTCCTTTACCATCCAGTACATAGAATTCTTCTTCTCTGCTGTTACCAGTTTCTTAAATTTATGCCTGCGTTCTGAATCTACCAAGTAATTTTAAGGGTTCCGTAGAACTGTAAACAAAGAGCTTTTTCTCGCACTTCTCTGACTGACACTTAATACGTTTCTTCTTCAGAGATTCTCAAAGTTCTTTATCTATAATATTTGCTGACGCCCCACTGTCAATGACGAACTCCACGGGATTTCCTCCAAGGCTGACTGTCACTTTGTCCGACAACTTGTTCCCTGTTTTAAGACTGAATGCGTACACATCAGAGTCAGAATCCAGTTCAGAATAATCCACTGTGTGAATTTTCCCCCCTTTGCTTCGTCTGCTTGAAGCCCCTTTTCCTGATTTCTGCTTCGTTAAACAACATTTCATAAAGTGTCCAACTTTTCCACATTTTCTAGACTCTTTATTCCTCGAGGGACACGATACATCTTTGGCGAAATGACCATCTCGTCCACAACGAAAACACTAATTACCTGGCTTTTTGTCCTGAAATCTTTGTTTCTGTTTGTCAGTTTTTTCACGATGTCCCTGAATTCTGTTAACTGACGCCACAATTTCAGTGTCCATATGTCTAGCCTGTACTTCAGTCATTTCATATGTAGCTGCTATTGTCCTCAATTGTTCTAAATAAGTCAAATCTTTTCCTTTCTCTAACAACTTAGCTCTAATTTTGTGAGACCTACACTTTTCAAATACTTGATTCCGAATTTGCTCATCCTGATTTGCAAAATCACAATACACTGCCTGTTGTCTCAATTTCGTAATAAACTGTTCTACTGTTTCATTCTCGGTTTGTGTTATTTTTCGAAAAACATAACGTTCATACGGCAGATTTACTTTGTTTTCAAAATGTTTATCTAATGTTTTCACTGCATCTGTGGACACATTGTCATTGTCACCCGCTTGCACTTCATTCAATGTATAAAAAATGTCTTGAACTTCTGGTCCTGCACAATGTAATAACAATGCTTTTTTTCCTGTTCTGGGTCACTTACTCACTAAGAAACATAACTCTTGCACACAACTCTTACACACAATACACATTCAGAGTTACTTCCCTTAGATAATATCAATCCACTACAACGGGTATCAATTAGTTGATTATGGTTATCGCTGTTAAGGCATTACATACGACTTAAAACATTTGAAATTCCATGCAACAATACTATTGCGGGATATTTTATGGCACTGTGGAAAATATATGAGTATGTAGAGTAAAAAAATGATCCCATTTGTAATGAACTCTAAAGTACTTTAATATCAACATTCCAAACAAATGATTTCGTTTGTACATGGCTAACAGCTTTTCAGTACTTTCAGTATTTTAATTTTTATTTGGTCAAGTCAAAACGAAAGTGAAAATTCAGAGATGACGTAACTGTCGATTAAGGTGCCAGAACGAGGCTAATGTGTATTGATACTGTCGGTGCTGTAATACACATTCAAAAATATGATTAGGTGATATTAACGGCTTGGGTAGTTGTGATAATTGACAAAAGACTGTACATTTTTATAGAAGAGTGTCAGCTTTACCGATGTTGCATACAAGTGGACAAGGACTCTCAAATGGCGGATATTTAATAGATATTTCGCGCAATTTGTTATTTATTTTTTAAAAGATGGCGTCGAGTTCTGTTAGTCAAGAAAGTTTGGACATCGAAGACTATGAGATAAGCTCACGGCAGAGCAGGGTAAGGCGTGCTCGGGCCCTGATGCCAAAAATTGGGGACGGATACGATCGGGAATCCCCTCGTAACGGAGACGGGGGTGGTGATGTCATTCCCGAGCACGAGTCCCCCTCCCGATCAACAGCAGCATCTCGAGCCCGAGACAAAAGACGACCCAACCACCTGCATAAAGGAAAACTCCCTAAAGATAAACGTAAACTGAGGGAGAAGAGGCGCAGTACAGGTGTAGTCAACCTTCCCTCAACAGAGGTATGTTTTGTCATAACAGGAGTTGTTTATGGCAGTGTTTATTTCCGCACATTACTTGGTTTACATGGCCCACAAGAACCTAAGGATAAAACATGGATAACGTACACCTTTTCATACCCCTTTCAAAGAACATTAAATATATAGGCGTCTTTATGTTCTCAAAAATATGTGTGATGTGAATTCTCCATCAGTTTCTGACTCTCAAAAATTGGTATGTCACGCTAGCCTAGACACCATCCTTAGTGTTTTATGTGCTGTAATCAGACAGTTTATTAAACAGACAAATAACATTTTCTCCATTGACAGTGATACCACTTGGAGCTCCTCGGGTGGCTCATACCTCACACACTAACCTCGGAGTAAACGGTGTTCTTCCATTTTGCTGATACAGTCATGTGATCTTATTTGAAATTCCTCCAAATGTTATACCTTTGAAATATGAGTTACTTTGTGGCACGCCCAACACTATGTTTTTGCTTTCAAAGACTACTAAAATAAGGTAATCAAAACCAATATACAATAGTAAAAAAAACTTTTTTGAAGAACTATATGCAGAGCGAAATATGAATGAGATACAAGGCAGTTTCCAGCAGAGAAATGTATCGATTTGATGCATATTCCTCAACCAATTACATCCGAGGTTTGTGAGGAGCAGAGTCAGTCGAGGATTACCGATTGCAGTGATACAGGAGGTTTTGGTGTTATCACTTTGTTTCGCTTCATCTGATTGATTGACATAATACAGTTTAAAATTATTTGACTAATCAGATAAGTGAAACAGATTGGCGTACCTCAGACCCTCCTCTAACACTATCAATGGAGAACATTTTATGTGTCAGTTTAACAGACTGTCTGCATGATTACAACATTTAAAACACTAAAGATGGGGTTAAGGTTTATAGAGAGACTAAGAGGAAAACATCTCCCTGACATAGTGCTTGCAAAAATATGATATGTAACTGTGTTAGTACCTTGGAAGTCAGCCTGGAAGTGGGGAACCCCCCGGTTTGTTTTGAATTTTTGTTTCTTACCTTGTGTATTTTTATTATACCGTATATGGTCAAATTTTAAACCTGAATAAAAGTGCAAAACAATTTTCACAGAATGACATACAGATGGAATTGACAGAGAAATCACATATTTTCGAGAAAACTGTAGACTCCTTATATTTTATTAGTTAGGTGAAGGGGGGGGGGGGGGATATGAAAAGAAGTATGTTATTCATGCTTCAAGTGCCTATGCCAGGGCTCGACATTAACTTTTTTTCTTACTTGTCTATTCGGACAAGTGACCAAGACATTCACTTGTCCGAACTTCAACTTCACTTGTCCGAAAATTTTTCAATAAAGATCTAATACTGTCAAGTTGAAAACTAAAATAAAGTCCATTACACATGACATGTGCTTGATTGATTCGTGATGTTATTGATATTTACAACAAACACATAAAACGAAATTTTATCGAGGCTTTCTGTCCTGACAACATAAATGTCCACAAGTGAACAAAACTTCGTTAAGTTCTTAAGTTCCATGCCTTTTCAGTAGTATGCAATTAGTGAACTTCGATCCCGAATCAATGTGAACTCAATTAGTAGCGATCCCTATCGGGATCGAAGTCTGGTTTTTATGTACAGCTTCCGTCTTGAAACTACCGATTATCTTTCACAGTCGTTCTTATTATTATTTAGAGACTCCTTTACATAAAAATGCACTTGTCCAATCGGACAAGTGCCCAGCAATATTCACTTGTCCGTAATTTTTTTTCACTGGTACCTGGCAAGCGGACAAGGGTTAATGTCGAGCCCTGTATGCCTGCTGTTTGTCAGATGATTCCAATATATAAAGTAAACAGTATGCATAGTAATCAGCATAGTCACAAATATACAGTTATGTTATATTTGGTTGACATGAATTCAAGTTACCACTTACCAATGATTTTTAAAACCATTTAAAAGTTTAATATTGCAACTGTGCAAATATTCACAAGTACGAGGGGCATTTCAAAAGTTCTGGCAACTGGTGTGCAGTAAATTAATGAGCGTCATTATCATAAATTAAACTATATCAATCCCTCAAAATAGTCTCCGTTGACCTGGACACACTTTTTTCAGTCTTGAAATCCACGTGGAAAATTCTGCCCTATAGTTCTCTTTCGGTATATGCTTCATACACTGGAATACGGCACTTCCGACTGCTTGACGACTTTCAAATCGCCGTCCTCGGAGGGCTTCTTTGATAACGGCATTCAACCAAAAATCGCATGGAGCTAGGTCAGGACTGTAGGGTGGATGTGGTAAAATGGCAATACCATTTTCCTTTAAATATTTGGTTACTACCTCTGATCTATGGGCAGAAGCGTTGTCATGGAGGAGCTTTATTCCTCTAGTACTGGTTGTTGGTCGGGTCGTTTTATAGTGCTCTACAACCTTAGACAAGACATTCTCTGCATAAAATTGACCAGTAACACTGCTGTGTTCTGAAACCAGAACTTGAGCAACAGGGCCTTTAGAATCAAAAACTAAGGTGTACATTACTCTCCAGACAGACCGGTTTCTGTGTGCAATTTGAGGCCTTGTATCATTTTCACTGATCCAAACTTTATTATTGAGCTTAGTTTCCGGTTCAAAAAAATATATCCATGTTTCATCACCAGTTACAATCTCATTTATTCGCCTTTGGTCACAATCTTCATAAATTGTTAGTAAATGTGAAGCCATTTCTACCCGGATGCACTTTTGCTCTTCTGAGAGAAGATGCGGCACCCATCTAACACAGACTTTCCTAAGCTTTAAGTTTTCCTTTAAATACGAAAAACTGCTGACGAATTAATGTTAGTTAAGTCTGATATTTCCTCAACTGTATATCTAGCATCATCAGCTATCGTATTTTGAACAGCGACGATTTCTTTTTCGCCATATGCACAAACTGGACGCCCCGAACGGGGGTCATCTTCAATTGATTTTCTACCCTTTTTAAATTGAACTACCCATCTTGCTATTGCTCGATATGAAAGAGCTAGCATGCTCTCTATATACTACATCTAAATCGGCTATTATTTCTGTGTCCGTAAAGCCATGCAATGAGCGAATTTTGCAATACGCTCTTTGCTCAACAAAAAAATTGTTCTCCTTATCAGTCATTTTTACGCCCAGTATACAGAGTATGCCTAATTATGACGTCATTTTAGCAGACCTATACTTCATTTTGAATGTAAAATGACGTCACTACTAATGCATATTTGCCTAAGCTTTACAGTGATATCAGAGTCATTTTAATCCGTAACGTAGTTAAAATTTTATATACCAGTTGCCAGAACTTTTGAAATGCCCCTTGTATAAGCAGTAAGGTATACTTTTTAAGCATCTGTCTGGAAACGTGTTGGTAAGTGATCATATCTATCATAGAACCCTTTTGGTTTCATGGGATATGGTCCTGTAAACTAACTGAATCAATATACATGTACTGGTGAATGATGATGCTTCGTGTTATACATTAATATTTCATATTACACATTCCTGTCAGTTTGGAAGTTTTGTGTACTATGTAATAATACATGTACACAGGAAATGGATTTGAAATTTAGAAGAATCCATGAGATTTTGAAAGATGTGTAAATTGTTATAATACATTTAAGCTGCATTGAGTCAATGCTAATGAATTAAAAGTGGTTTGATTGTGCATGCTGTATGTACTTTATAAGACAAATCAAATGTGTGATTATATGAAGTAAATGATTGATTTCCAGGTGTTTTGTGTCAAAAAGACAATACAATTATATATTTAACAACTTATCTTTGGAATTTTGTGTCTATTTAAAAAAAAAAGTAAGAAATGTTTCAGTTGCTTTATATTGACAGAAGTTTAATAATAGTTCAGAAATAGATGATACATGTAGCTGATTAAAAATTGCTATTTCTAGAGTACAGGGGATTCCCTTGATGATGAAGATGATGAGGAGTTATTGGAGGCGAAGAAGAATACATCATATAATGAAGTCATCGATGCAGATAATCCCCAAACTCCATCAGAGGTAAAAGTTACTTGTATTTGGCACACTGGTAAGGTTCTACAAAGAACAAAGTATGATAAAATGATTTTATAGAGTATGTCTTAAAGATTTTTTAACTCAATATCTAAGATCTAGAGAAGTAGATGTATTTACTTCGAATTATCAATAGTAATCATTTTCTTTTTTAATTTTTAAATTCTGTTTTATTTGAAAAAAGAAGACATTTTATTTGTAATAGATATTGTTTGAGGCTAGAATTGAAGTATGCTGATAGTTTTATTTTGATGGTGGACTTTAATATTGACCACTTAATTTCCTTTAACAGAGTAGAGTACCAAGACCATTCTCTTCCAGAAGATCAAACAAAAGGTAAGAATAAAGTCTATATTCCAGATAAACTATATTTTATATGCTTGTTGATTTTATGAACAATGAATTCCTTGCTTGTATTGATTATTTTACAATGTAACATGTGTAAGGCCTTAAAGAAACAAATATTTGATTATATTGATTGCATTTTGAATCCTTAATGTTTATTTTCAGCCCATCAGATTTGGAGGCGGACCTAGAAGATAACCAGGATTATGACAGCACCGTAAGCCAATCAGAAACCAATCTTACTCTCATCGGAAAGTCTGACTCCATTGAGTCCTCCAATCAAAATGCTAGTCCAAAGATGGGACAAGGCCAGTTCTTTGGCAGGTCTACAAACCATCCAGAAATACCCAAGTCTTTCAGAAATTTTTCACCCAACACAAGTGAAAATGAAACAAAGACTTCACCGTCATATTCCTCCAATTCCTCTTCCCCCTCCTCAATACTGAACCGATATAAGTGGCGCAGTCCCGACGTGTTAAATCAGGAGAGGGAACCAGCCAGTACTGGTACAGGAATATCTTCCATTATCTCTAAATACGATAGAAAACCCAGCGAAACAGAAACAAATTCCACCACAGGTTTTATTTCTAAAGGCTACCGAAATTTTGGGGATAGATTCCGTAAGGAGAGTCCATTTCAGAGTCAGTTCCGCAGTGTAGCTGCTCCAACAACGAGGGAAGATGCTGAAAAAGTCAATCTCAAAAAGGTAAAGCACTATGTAGAGGTTCCCACGGGATAACTTACAATGTAAGTTAACGAAAATCATGATAACCCTGATTTTCTCCTACAATATTAATGTACTTAATTGCTATGGTTTCTACACTGTAATTGTTACTTGCCTGCTGGGTTAACAGTACCAAAAATGGATAGTATTAATTTGAGTACATGTACCTGAATTGATTCAGATGACATTTATTCCCTCAAAATGTCAAAAGGCTCTGTCTTTTATTGTAATCTTATCATTTAATGTAAGTTAAAAATAGATTACTGTTTTGTTTTAAATAATGAATACTGGTCATGCATCAGCAAGTTAATGATAGCTGACGAACACAAACAGTTGAAACCTAATTTTGAATCTTTTTGCTTTCATTTCAATTAACTGTATTTTATTCAATGTGGCACACTTCATTCAAAGTAATGTCATTGTATTTAAAAAAAAAATGGCTTAACTCTGGTAATCAGTTTTGAAAAATACTTTTTCCTACACAAAAGTGAAATGAAACAAAGCATGGAAATATGGTTACAAAGAATATCTTTTTTCTGTCAGAGTTACTTCATCAATTTTGAAGATCCCAAGTGGTTTGAAATTTGGTCAGTGGCTTAGAAATGCTTTCCTTTGATTCACAGAATGATGCACTTGAATTGTTGCATATCCAGTATCATTGCTTTTACTTTTAATAAGTTGTGCTTCATTTAAAGATGCTGAATTTTTGGTGAAATGTTATCATGCTGAGAAACTAATGTTACATTTAACAAATCATACATTTCAGGCATTTGTTTTTGTAAGGGTAGATGCTTGAATAAGTGATTTCTATTTGCAATGGTAGATGCTTGAGAAAGAACAAGAGGAAAATAGAAAGATGAAGGAACTGTTGGAAGATAAAGACAGACGAATAGCAGAGCTGGAGAGAGAGGTGTACCTTCTTAATAAGGTAAGAGTTAACTTACATGTGGAAGATCTTGCAGGGTGAAATAACATAACTGTGGAATATCTTACAAAGTCAGTAAATATCTGTGCAGTGTGTGTGTGTGTGGGGGGGGGGGGGGGGGGGGGCTTACCTGTCGAATATCTTAAATGGGGAAAATAGAATACCTATGAAATATCTTAGTAATCTTTCAAAGTGATTGAAATTAACATAGCTAGGGAAAATCTTGAAACCAATTAATTTTCAGTACCAGAAATAAAAGCTTAATATTTGAGCATCATTTAATGCATTATAAAAATGGACAAAGAAAATATATTGTCATAACATGTGTATGATAATTTTTGTACACGTATATGGTGAGCTGATGTTTAAAATCGAATTCAGTCAAAATAAATCACCTGGTAGTCAGTGTTTAATATTGATTTGTTTCTTGTTTTATATTACTCTAGGAGAATTGACATGTCAAGGTATATAGGTTACAGTTGTAGTTTATTGTTTTGGATGTTTTTCTTCTTTGATTTCAGCAACTTGTAGTTCAAGATTATATATTAGTTACTTTTTAGTGGTATTTTGCATCCATAATATGTTAAATATTTTGTGGATAAACATGTCTATTTAGTGTTGTGAGTATGTTTTGTGTATATTATTTTCCCTTTTAAATCTTGGCGTTTATTTTGGTTAATTTGAATGGAATTAGCTTGTTGGATCAGATTGTTAAGTTTGTTACATGCCCTTCTCACTTGCATGTAAAAAGAAAAATTAAATGTCATTTGATTTAATTTCATCCTGAAATTTTATATACTAGCATATGATTTTACCTTCACCTTAGGTATTCCAATTATTGATAATTGGGATGTACTTTAAAAATCTGGAAAATATTACTCGTACAGTAGTAACATAAATACAAATGTGTATATATGTATTTTTTTTTAAATTAACTCTTATCCACAATTTATTACACATGTATTATAAGTTTCATTTATAAATACATATCACTTCTGGGGGTTACTAAATATAATAATTCTATTAAGAAAGATGTGAATATTGAAAGGGAATTTTTGTCTTTAATATAAATTTCTTGATTTTAATTTCAGGATCTTGAAGATATGGATGATGAAGCACAGAAGCTTCAGTTGGAGAACAATGCACTAATAAGAGCTGTCTCTCAGCTGAGCACTCAAGTGTGATAGCTGTCTTCAAGAATACCAATCAAACACACCCACTGCATGCCACTGAACAGACTTTCTACAAGAATAACATATGATTTTCATGTTTATGTAAAGAATCTTTAAGTTTAATGAAAAGTATATATGCCAGACATATAAGGAAATCAATTGTTTAACAATAATAACACATCATTTGATGTTCTGATTTTCAATCTGTGATTATTTTGTAGCTGTAAACCAAATATTTTCCAGTTTATGCATAATTTTAATCTGAATGATTGTGAAATTTTAAAGATTTACCTTTAGTGTTCAAGTATTCCTTACAGCAATTTTTTTTTTCTTTAAACACATTATTTTTGCTTGCAACTTCAAATAAAGTGTCTGGAAGGTTCACCATGGTCAGATTTATCATGTGGAAAACCACTAGTATTTCCTGATCAAACCCATTATGCTGCACACTTCGCAGGATAAATTTTATTAAAATTTTGTAATACACTCTAGTTCTTTAGGGGTTAATTTTTAAAAATTTAAGTTTTATAAGTCAAAATTATTAGGTATTGCTATAATCTTAAAGGTGCTTGGACACAGATTTGAAGTTAAGATTTTCTCAAGTTTTTGGTATAATATCATGACTTATATGTTGTTATAGCATTTCAGATGTAAATAAAATAAAAAACTTATTTTATCTGGAAATTATTGAAAGTACAAATTTCGGGACGCGTTTGATTGATACATCCTAGCACTTTCATAAAGCGAACTTTATCCTTAATACTTAAGAAAAGTAAAATTTTTGTTGTGTATTAATGAAATATATTCAAACTATAATCCAGAAAATTCAGAGTAGAAATGTAAGAAAGCAAAACCAACTCACCAGTATTGTCAGTTTGTGCTCAGTGATGTGTGCAGAGTTTAACAAATCGAACACACCCAGTGAAACGTAAACATTAACAATAACAGAGCTCGTGCCCTGTTTACAGAAACAGTCTATGTTTCATGGGTGTGTTCAATTTGTTAAACTCTGAGCACAGACTGACAATACCGGTGAGTTGGTTTTGCTGTCTCTCATTTCTACTCTTTATTTTCTGGATTATAGTTTAATATTTTTCTACTTTTCTTAAGTAGTAAGGATATAGTTTACTTTGTGAAGTGCATAGATGTGTCAATCAAACGCGTCCCGAAATTTGTAGTTTCAATCATTTCCAGATAAAATAAGTTTTTTTATTTTATTTCCATGTGAAATGCTATAAAAACATATAAGTCATGATATTAAGCCACAAATTTGAGAGAATATTAACTTCAAATCTGTGTCCAAGCACCTTTAACAGATATCTTCTTTGTATATTTTTAAATGCATTTCGAATAGAAAAAATTAAAAAATGCATTTAGAATTTGAAAATGGGTATCCAATATCCATGGTTGTTATCAGTTTTAGGTATGTCATGTAGCTGATTTTTTTACATGTATAAATTGTACAACTTTTTTTTTCTCAGAAATGCACCATGTTGACCAAATTTATGATTAATTCATTGTGATAAACCATAGGTGATAGTATATCATATCATGTGATTCTTATTTTTATTTTAGTGGTAGATATTTTTGGAGCCTTATGAAGGTATATATTTCACATTCATTATGCATTGTAGTTCATGGTAGGTTTCTTATATTTGGTAGAGTAGGTAGCATGTCTCCCTGTTAAACGAGCATTTTAAAGTCTTGTCAGAGAATTCCTTTAAAAATGTGATACCTTTATTTCCAAGGGTTGTGCTACTTTATCAGTATATGGATTATGTCCCCTGAAATGAGCAACTTCGGACGTAAATGTTAAGCTGGAAGTAATATTTTACATGTTATAAACGCAATGGTGATATTGGTGCATTTTTGTTTAGATTTTGAGTTTAATTGTGTTATACAAATAGTGTTCATTTTTACTGTGTTATTGCGATATGTTAAGATTGTTTTCTATTCAGTCATTTAGAATTGGACTAAAATGTTATTCAGAATTTTTTTGTGTGTGTTATTCTTAATTAATTGATTAAAGAAACATTATTTGAAAAATTAAATGAACATTTGATGTCCAAAAATTTTTCAAGTAGAATGGTTTAATACCAGATGGTTAAAATGAGCAAGGGGAAAAATATATGTATCATTCACAATTATTTGATCTTCATTTCATTCTTATTTAAACATTAAGAAATATTTTGCATGAGGCATTAAAGATATATTGTATATGCTGGTTGTGAAACTGACTTACCTTAAGATATACATGTACATGCATGTATATTAACTTGATAAATTTTGTTAATCACTGTTATTTAAGTCAGACATTTAAGTAATATTTTTTTGTTTCTTTTCTGTATCCTTGACCATTTGTGAGATAAAATTAATTGTGCCCATATCAATTGTTTCCAGAAACAAGCATAAGCTAAGTAACCAACACAGTTTGTATGTCATACCCAAAGATTTCACACAAAATTTTACATGTAAATGAATGCTCATGATTTTGGTGCTTTAATATTAATTCGTATACATATCTGTATTCTGAGAGTGACAGGCTTATTCTACAGCAATTTACGCCTTTGAGGACCATCTGAACTCACATCTAAGTGCATGGAGTCTTACTATTAACACATCAAGTTAACCTGTCTCTTATTTGCTTGCTCATGAAATCATAATCATTATAGTTTAACGTCACCTAGGTGCAATATACAATTTGTTAAAATGATTGCACTACATGTAAAGTATTGTTTTACCTTTTTTGCTTGTCATGAACAAAGATACAAAGAATGCCATTATTTTGCAATTAAGAAGAAGTCATACACTGTTATGTATTGAGATGGGAATGGATTTTTTTTTTTTCTCAGACTGTGAATGTTTTCTCGTTTATTACTGTGATGTTTATAAAGAGGAGTCTGGGAAATTGGTTGCATCATTTTTGAATGTGTGAAAGTGATCCTCTGTATTAAGCGTCATTGATATGGAAAATATTGTTTAAAAATTTATGTTAAAAAAAATTATTGTTGACATAATTTTTGTCCCTTGTTAGGCTTTTTGTGTTCCCTAGTGATAGCTAGGTATTAATTTATTCCTTAAAGTGTTAGTGCTTTTGCTCATTTTTTTCTCTCTCCAGTTTTTATTTGTGTATGTATATATGATGTTTCACTTCAAGAAAAATGTATTCATGAAGATATAGCTCTTAAATTGCATGTGATATTACCGGTAATTGGCCAGAAATTAATGATTTCAAGTGGCATTGAAAGCAAGAAATGTTCCTAATGGTTTATATTGAAAATAACAAATGTAGAAATGTTCCCTTTTGTTAATGTCATGACACTGAAGCCTTAAATATTTTTATTTGGTTTTTATCAAGGCACTGAAACCAGAAAAAATCCTTTTGGTTGCTATCAAGGTACTTTATAATAGTCAAGAAATGTTCATTTTGATATCTTAAAACACAGTGCCAAACTGGATGTGTACTTCAACAAAATTTTAAATACATTTATTATGACTATAGAGTGTCAATTGTCAACATTACACATACACATGTACCAACTCTATAGATATACAGTGTAGTGCACATCCTGTCTACAAATGGGTATTTTACATGTATATTTATACATCCACAGCTTGTGAATAATGAAGCTCACACCTAGTTAAAATTTTCACATATATAGTTAAAATTTTCACATATAGGAAGTTAATAACCAAATTAAAACTTATTTGTAGCTGTTTCAAGATATTGCAATGCCTTTGTTTAACTTCTCCAAAAAACTTAAATGCATTCCTTATAACCTGTTAGATAATTAAGTAATGCACAATTATTTAATTGCCAGGGAGTAATAATTTCATCTCAGCAATACATGTCTGTGAACAAAGAAGTTGTATTTGTTTTACTTTTACAATATTTGTTTTGTATCTTAAGATATAAAGAACAAAATCATATTTACAAACAATTACATATATTTGCAATCCAACATTCTACTTACATGCATATCTCAGCAAACTTGTCTAATTTTTGAAAGATATGTATGTGGGTACAATAGTTTTTGTTTTCAATATTTTTTTCTCTTTCAGAAGGAAGATGAGATATGTATGATACTGTAGTTATAAGAGTGATTATGGATATAAGGACTGAGTATGTTTAAATTGAAGCTTATCAGCCAACATTCCAATTAAATAAATGTGTTCCATGTTCTTGTTTAATAAGTATATTCATTTCTGATTATTTTATCATCAGTTTAGTGTAAATTTTGAATCATATCAAAACATTTTGTTTTTTGGGGAAACATTTAGACATGTAATTTAAGCATTTAGAATGTGAAGACTTTACTACATTGTATTACATAAGTTTGACACAAAAATGAAATAGTTAGCAGATCTTAGGGAATCTGAGTATAAAATTAAATCATGCCTTCTGGGAAATATGCAGATACAATATATTGTTTATTGTGATTTTTCTGTTAATTAGTTTTATTTATACATTGATTGGCTTGTTTCATTCCAGCTGTTTGCTTTACAAGATGTCATATTGCATTCTGCTTAATGTTGTGACACAGGATAATAAAAGAAGAAATTATAACCTGATGTTGTATTTTGTGTGTATACTTGGAGCTTAAAGATACAGTGTATTCTTTTTGACAAGACCTTCCCTCAGGTATCATTAATTTTGACCTTGACCCTGGAGTTGGACCTACTTTTGAAAAACTTTAACCTTGGCCATAACTTTGGAATAGTTAGGGCTTTCATATTTACACATGTATTCCTTGTGACAAGACCTTCCCTTGGGTTCCAACATTTTTGATCTCTTGACTTTGGAGTTTGACTTGCATTTGAAAAACTTTTACCTTTGCTGTTGGCTGCCATATGGTGGCAACAGTGTTTCACAAACACATCTTGTTTCATTTTCTTCCACACACACAAAAAAAAAACTTTCTAGCAACAAGTAGAAGTTACATACATGTCCTTGTATTGTACAATACTGAATGCAATTTCAGGCAACTCTGCCTATTGGACTTGCCCATTGGTACACCTAGATCTATATGTCAACCCACACCATTTAAAAGCCATTGCACAGAAACCTATTTTGAACAAAAGAATTAAGATAACCTATTGATCAAAAAAGCAATCCAATTGTGTTTTTTGATTTTAACCCAATTTAATGCTATGTATGCTGTACAACTTTTTTTTTTAAAATGTAATTCTTGGATTAACACTTACCTTCAACCTTTTTAAAGTAAATTCAAGGTTTCCCGGGTTCCTCCCAAATAACAAAAAGATGCACATGTGAGTAAACAGACATGTTTTACAATACCCAATCTAAAACCTGATACTATAAAGGAAAATGAACACAGCCTCCACCTCACTTTCTTGCAAGCTTGCCAATTATACCCCAACAAGGTTAGTTGAAAATTTAGACTTTTTGTGCATTTGAGCTGAAAGCTCAAGTGAACTTTTCTGATCAAAACTTGTCGGTCATTGTTGTCATCTAAACTTTTTTGCAATTTCATCTTCTTCTCCAGAACCACTGGGCCTATTTCAACCAAACTTGCAGAGAGTATCCTTGGGTAAAGGAGATTCAAGTTTGTTAAAACATCTTCCAAGGGGAGATAATTAAGACATAGTGAAAATTGGGTGGGGTCATTTAAAAAGCTTCCTAAGAACCACATGGCCAGAAAAGATTAATCTTATTGGAAAGCTTCCTGACATGGTGTAGATTCAAGTGTCAGAACCACACGGGGTAGGGTGGGGCCACTATTGGCTATCAAAGTTTATATGGGGACATCAAGGAAAATTCTTCTTGAGAACAGCAAAGCCATGATCAGTTATATTTATACTTGAGCATTCTCAGGTAGTGTAAATTCAAGTTTGTTCACATGATCCCTGGAGGTATGGTTAGAGCCACAATGGGCAATCAAAGTTTAACATAGGAATATATAGGGAAAAAAATTCCCAAGAGCAGCAAAGCCATGATTGGTCATATATTAAAGCATCCTCAGGTAATGAAGATTTAAGTTTCTTCATATCATGACCCCAGGGGGTAGGTGGGGCTACAAAAGGTGATCAAAATTCTACATTAGAATATACAGTGTATGTGGAAAAAATCTGATGAACAGAAGGGCTTTAGCGACTCAGGTGAGCATTGTGGCCCATGGGCCCTTTGTTTTCAAATACCTTGAATATAACTGATTTTCCCTCACATCATGTGCTGTCCACATGATGGGCTGAATACAACATGTAGGTCAATTGATATAAATGTGATGTGTGCACAAGTTAAGCATCTGAATCATCATATGCCAAACAGGTTACTGATCCATATAGTAAGACAGACAAATAATTTAGAATATCAAACTTTATTGACTAGAAAAACACATTTGTAACAAATTTATACAAAAAAGGTTCAGGTAAAATTAATCAAAGTGTAAGAACAAGAAAGCATACAGTGATGTACCCTTATTGCATTAAAATGTTTTGGCAGTGCAAAATTTAATTTCAGTCAGCAGTATTACTGCAGACTGGCTGTTCTTTCATTGAGCAAGTACCGGTAAAATGCAGATCACTCATGAAAACTATGTGAATAAAACGCACACACAAAAAATTGGAAGACTTGTGCTGGTTAAGATTTTGAAATTGGCAAGATAGAGCATCATGGAGATAAATGTAGTGTAGCAATTTCACAGATATTCTATTCAAAACTGAGCAATTTTTAAATTATATGAATTCCTGAGAAAATATTGCATTTCAAATATCCATCAGGTTATACAATTGATTGAACTTAATATTTTCTCTGATTAAAAATATTGTTTTAACATATAAAACAAGTGGTATATGTATATGTATATGGGCATCTTAATTTGAAAGCACTTTTCGTATTAATTGCACTTATTAAATGAGATTATTTTTTCCCATCAGTATAGGATAAAATTCTTCAAAAAACAAATAAAATTTCAAAAAACTTTGAAATATGTTATCAGACCATCCAAAAATAGCATGTATCAAGCACAAAAATGGACTTCAACTGTCTCTCCTGGAGAGAATCTGACATGCTTGGCTTTTCTGGATTGTGGTAAAGAAGCAGAAATATCAAATGTAGCATGTCGGCAGGATTTTGATCTTTCTCTGTGACAAGTATCAACTGATGTGGGCTGCTCACTTTCCAACAGGTGCACCTCTTTATTTAATGAATTCACCTGATGAAAAAAGAATAGACTGGTTATATAGGGGAAGTTTTTCTTACCACCAATCAATTGGTCAATTGACTTGAATATATTAAAAAATCATGAACACCACATTTAATAATTGTATGTATCTGTAGATCTAGACCCTGGTCTTACCTTCCGACTGTTCATCTTGTTTATAAGTTGTGTACCATGGTATCTCCGACAGTGTTTTTTATCATGTTTTGTCTGAGGTTCTCCATCAGTTGCACAATAATATCTCTGAAATGCATTAAAAGTTTTCAAAGTAAAACATATTCAACATATGATACTGATTTGCTGTAGCTCAAGAAATTTGATGAATGTCATTTTTGAAGGGTCTCTTAATTAAAACCCACATGTGAAGTCACTCTTTTGTTTGTACCCTCAACTTCAAGATTAGAAATCAAACATAGCTTCATTAAATTTAGCTAAAAATACTACCGGTATATCTATGACTTCAACGAAGCATGTTCATTATGTTATGGACACTGAGACACTGGCAACTGTTTACCTTTTCAAGACAGTGCTTTCATCAAAAGGTTAGGTCGTGTGTTTACCAAAATGATTGTGATATGTATGCATTGATAGTTTCCATCAGAGTAACAAATTTGAGAAAAGGTACCGTAACTATGAAGATCGAATGCCAGTGTTTATGATGAATTAAGATAAAAGGTCTACCAAAAAATAAGGAAAACATTAAGACTACTTACACAGCTGACATAAAACATCAACTTGAAAATCGTGAAATATAGTTGTTTATTCTCTGTGTATAATTGCTAGAGGACTGGATTATAACAAACACACATAATTTTTTTAAAAATTAAATTTGAGTTTTGTGTAGCCTACCATTTACATGTACATATTTTTGTGTCGCCTGCAGAGTAGAGCGACACTTGGGGATCGCTTAAAACTCAGTCGAGATGGTAAATTTTTTTTTAATAATTTACCTGACAGATTTGAGACATGTGAGACATCATCATCATCACATCAGAGAAAGCTGACTCCAGCTCTATATTGGGTTCCACAGACTTCTAAAATGTTAGAGGAAAGTCACAATATGCATGCATTATTTTAAGTACAAAAACCTTAATACAAGTACATGTATTCAAATAAATAGCCACTGTGACATATTATATTTAAAGAATACATTTGTTTTCAAGATTTGATACTAAATTATAGAAAAAAAAGAGGAATTACGCCACAAATTGGGCATGCTCCCCTCTCCTTATAAATTGGATACATTGTTTGTCCCTGTTCCCTTTGCTCTGTCCATGCAGCATGATTTTTCAGTGCTCGTTGATAAGTTTGCTGCCCAAGTCTCCGTGTTCTCTCCAGTGTACTCAGTCCCCACAAAGCATCATCAACGTTAGAAAGGTGCTACAATGTCAAATGAACTGCAATCAGGAATTTTTAAAATATAGAGAATAACATGACATGCATAATAACAGTTTTGGTACAGACAGGAATTTTTTTTCCCTTTTTATAATATTAATTCATTCTACTTTATTAGAGATAACTTTTGTAAGTACATTATTCTTACAAAAGAAATAGCAATCTGGGAATTTTAAAAATTATTAAAGTAACAATAAATGCAACAAGATGGGGGGGGGGGGGGGGGGAAATTGTCCCTTTTTATATGAAAAAAATTTTACAGGTTGGGACCAAACGCCCAAATGGGGATTTCCCTGTTTGGGATATAATATCCCAAATGCACAGGCACCTGACATTACTTATTTCTTTTATAATAAAAAAATATACCCCCTACCTAAAATTGAATTATTAGGTATGGGTATAATTTTTTTATTATAAGAAAAATAAGCATCGCAAGGTGCCCCTGCCCAAATGTCATATAAATTTACTGTGCAAAACGATGGACAGATTTCATTTGATATTTTTAATTAAATTGACATAATATACATGTAGACAGGTTCAATCCCCGATGGCCAGATAGCTCAGTTGGTAGAGCTACTGACTGGAGATTGAGGGCACCTGGATTCGAATCCCAGTCTGGTCTGTTGCATTTTTCTCCTCTCCCGTTACATTTGGTGTCATGCCATGCCCTGAAAGTGACAGGTGAAAGACTTGCCAGGGAAGAGCCTGGGTTGGTGTCTTCGAGGGTCGAAGACCTTTAAGGAGGGATGAATGTGGTGGTTAGACGGGTTCAATTGCCGGTGGCCAGAAAGCTCAGTTGGTAGTCTAAGAGCACCTGAATGGAGATTCAGGGGGCCTGGGTTCGAATCCTGGCCTGGTCGTTGCATTTTTTTCCTCCACTGTTACATACAGTATACCCCAGTACATTGAATGTTAGATTTTGTCCATTCCTTTTAACAATTTGTACACTTACAACTCTTTGACTTGCAGGTGAAAGTCCTTCCAGGGGCTAGTCTGAAAAATCTGACATTTTCCAGACGTTTTTCATGATTTTGATATTTTACGTGCCAAAAAAACATGGAAAGCATCAGAACCGGTGCCATTATGAAAAGTGGAAATTCATTGCCTTCAAATCAGAGGCTGCATTCTCTGGTCAATTTTTCGATATATGTGAACCAAAGTAAATGTTTAAATCACACCTTATCGACAGTACAAAATACTTCTAGTACTTACCACTATTGTTCCTTTTAATATAAAGTGTCTGGTGAAAACATTTTATCTAACTGTCAAGGTCTACATTGATTTCGTGCATTCTGAAATCTCGTGAGACCTAGCTGTATCAAAATGTGGAGTGATATTTTCTTTTAAGTGATATTGGTGAGAACTAGAAGCATTGTGCTGTTGATAAGTTGAAAGTTTGACATTTAATTTGATTTGCAAGTATCGAAAATCAAAATCAGATGAGGGTGGTGAATTTTCCACTTTTCATCTGTTCATAAATGGCACCCGTTCTGGCATTTTCCTGGTATATATTATATCAAAATCGTGAAAAAAGCATGGAAAACATAGATTATCCAGGGGCCAAAAGAATCTGGGTTCTTTGTCTTCATAGGCAAAGACAATTTAAGGAGCAGGGTTCGACACTAACTTTTTTACCTTGGTGGACCGCAGGTCCACTTGTCAAAAATTATTGGTGGACCTTCTCAAATTATGGTGGACCTTCATAAATGTTTGAATTGATTACACAAGGCTTGAAACTAACTTATGTACCCAGTCCAGTCAGACTAATAAAGTATAAGTTAAACCAGTTAACTGAAACAAATCAATTGGTCAGGAGTTTTTCAGCAATATTCTTTAATATATTTTCAATATTATTTTTAAAAAAGAACACAATCTATATCTTCAAACAATTTGTTATTTTAATATCATTTATTTACAATCATGGTAAAAACTAGCATTTATTATGCTTCCAACGGTAGATAAAATTTAAAATCCCAATAATTAAGCTGAACATATGAACAAGTGAATTTTTATGTACCCTGGTATCTATGGCTAGAACAATTTTTACTACGATGCAAAACGACAAAAGTATGTGTATTTATTTATTATTTTTTAAATTATAATTTATTCAAATAATTTGCTTCTTTTTTGTGATTTAATGTATAGCAGAAAAAAAGAAACTGCAGATAATGTGTTCATAAAATATAAATCATGCCTGTTTGAAGATCTAAAAAATAAACAATGCATAAATGCAGCTGTCATCTCCAGACCTGGCCATCAGTGTGCGTTCAAGCGTGAAGTGATTTCCTGTTACCCAGTGTACATTTTCACACCTTTCTGTGCATTAAATAAACAAAGGACAGACTGACTAATTTGGCACGAATTTTATGTGTTTCTTTTTCAAGGTCCGCGTTGAATGTTCTTGCGTCTCAATGATATTGTTATTGTAGTCATCAATATTACATGTAAAATATATATTCAGCTAAATATTTAGCTAAAACAAATTTTACCATTTATATTTATTGTAAAATACAAGTATGGATGAATTAATCGTTTGATTTACGGATGTCGATTTATAGAAAAAACGGAATTTTACTGTGTATTTTTCAATACGGTGATTTAATTTTAAGTGGACCGACGGTCCACCTAGTCCAGAACATTTGGTGGACCTTCCAATTTTTTGGTGGACTCGGGCCACCGGTCCATGTTAGTGTCGACCCTGAGGGCCGAATGGAGTGGTTTGGACTACATGTATATAGACTGTGGAAATCACCCTAGAGGCTGGATAGCTTATTGATTAGGGCGACTAGTATTTAGTAGTACACGTTATGCAGTGTTCTCGGGTTCAATTCTGAATCCAACCATTTGTTTACCAAAATGTTTTGCTTTTTATGTATTTTAACGCAGATTTACAATATTAACAGCTATTTTTCCTATTTCTTTCACTTTCTTGCACTGTAAATTTATATCTCAAACGGGCCATTAATAATCCATACCAACATGTTAAAGTTTGAAATTTTATTAACAAAGTAAATAGTAATGAAATTCACTCTATCTACCAAACCATGAGCTATGTATTGGGGGTCCATCAAAATCAATACTAATGTACTAACGCATAGCTCATTGCTTAGTCAACCGAGTAAATGTCATTATCTTAAATAATTTCGAACTCCTGTCCATGCTACTCTGTGGTTACAGAGAGTTGAACAATGCAGAGAAGAGAACACAATCAGTAAAAGAAATACATGTAATGTCGATTTTTTAAGTTTACCTTTGTTGGAACCATTCTTGTGATCTCTTTTTGTTAAATTTTTGCTGTACAACTTACAAAATAGATTCTTTTTTGAAAAAGTTTACTGTTGACGTTATATTAGTAGTGTGTACACCGAACCCGGTCAATATTCTTTATCAATAATTTTTTTTTCGAGGTTTAGAACATAAAACATGATCTTTTACTCTTAATTTTTGTCAGTATCACTGTTATGACACATTATGGGGGAAATGGTGATGAAACACATCAAATAACAAAATAAGGAAAACAGTATCTGAGCCCGACTTTCATTTGGAGCTCTTTAGTGTTTAAAGTTAGAAATGTCCTTAGGAATTACGACGCTAATTTATCAACATGAATGAAAAACAGCTCAATCGCATACTCCAAGAGGGCGATATAGATGCTATTGAAAAAGAGTTAAAAAGTGGTTTGAATGTTGATTTTACTTTTCAAGAGTTGTATGCAACTAGTGACAATAATGGCTACGCTCTGCTTGACGTTGCAGTGGCAGCCCGACAAAAAGAAGTTGTCCAATTTCTTGTGGACTGGGGTGCAGATGTTAACAGAATGCGTAAATGGCCCGGGGCTACAAAAGAATTGATTAACTCCTTCTTTCTGCAGAACACATGCATGTATCCTTGTCTAGTCCGTGGAGATGTAGAAATAGCAAGCATCCTCGTGAAAGCAGGGTTTGACGTGAATCTACAAGACATCCGGCAGTGTTCTTCACTTTGGCACGCGGCTGATTCCGGAAATTGTAAACTAGTAGATGTTATTTTAAGTTCTCCCACTGTAAACGTTAATTTACCTGATATGACTTTTTTACACCCACTTCATGTGGCTGCTCTTCACGGACACAGCAAAATCATCACATCTCTTCTGAGAAAAGGGGCTAATGCGAACGCAGTTCACGTGTTTGGAAATACCCCTCTAATCTTGGCCTGTAAGACTAATTGTTACGAGTCAGTACATCAGTTGCTTCTCTATGGAGCAGATGTAAATGCCGCAAACATTTATGGTGTGACACCGCTATCTAAATTTTTGCACAATCCTTCAACGCTTCAAGATGTACGAATATTTGGCTTACTTTTAAAGGCAGGTGCTTTGGTCTTTGAGTGCGAGTTAAAAGAATGGAAGCAGCAAGAAGATTTACAGGTTTTCTCAGATTATCCACAGATTTATGAGACTCTAATTCTGATGTCATCGAGTCCTCCATCTTTGAAGACTCTAACGTGTAAATTTATACGATTTAGAGTTTTGCAATGTTTAAAAGATACATCGGGTGATATCTATTCAAAAATCCATCAATTACAACTACCATCTGTTCTTAAGAAAGAATTATTGCTGGAATGTTAAAAATCAATTCCATGAGGTACGCGAATCGAATATTTAAAAAAATATTTTGTTCTACATTGATTTTGTCCTGCATGAAAGATCACTATTGTTCCAATTAATTCTATGGCATCTATGTTTGAAAAAGAACTTGCATTGTCAATCAACAATTAATGAGGAAGTCTACTGTATGAATTTCTTGTAATTTGTTAAGTCATGATTTTTTGAAGGATTCTTTTTTACGTACACTTTTTGTTAGTTTATATCAATTTCGTTTATAGGACGAGTTTTTAAAAATATGTTTGGGTAAATCAAGGATTGAAATATTATGATATGCAAAGAAAAATGAAAGTATTAACCTCCATCTTAATTTTATTGAGTGAGAAAAGATATATATATATATATATATATATATATATATATATATATATATATATATATATATATATATATATATATATATATATATATATATATATATATATATATCAGTCTTTATTTTTATATATATACAACCTGACATCGACCGTTTCAAATTTCAAATCAGTTTGAAAATTTGATATTTTGGATATTTGAAGTAAAATTCTAAAAACTCAAAATGTAAAGAGTGTTTTTTTTTGGTTATTTATTAATTATCTCGTGTGGGGTGGGGGGAGGGGGTTGATGAAGGGCCATATAGTTTACATGTAAACAGATGATTATCATGTAAAAAATTGTTGCAAAACACGTGTACTTACCATAAGTATAAACGACCCATATTACTCGACCTGATTCTATTTTTGAAAACGGGAGAAACTTTTCTATTTTTAGAAAGATATACCAATTTACTTACATAGAGTGTTTACGGATAAAGGTTCTCGTTAAGAAGCATTCATTAACAATGTGAATATGAATAAATAAGCAATGTTAAGTTGGTATTTTATTTCAAATCTATAAAGGATTGGTATGAATATAAAGGGAAAGTTTTAAAGAAAGCTGAAATTATTTGTCCAATGCTAGTATTGTAAGTAATTGAATTCTCAAGCGTGGCGGTGTACTGACCTTTTTTACGAGCTAGAAAGCTGACTGCATGTATAATATACCATCAAATCTATTAAGGAAATGATGAAATGATGACCAAGATGATCTTAAAGCTAAAAAAAAAATAGCCACTTTGTTTGAAATAAAGTTAAACTAAAACGTCTAAAATTATTAAATAGTAATATTCATGTTTCAGCTATTATATGCTAGATCATTCATGCAGACAACAATTGATTTCAGTTGATCATATTTGATTTCCCTTTAACAAAATTTTCCAGTCCCACTACACCCCCCCCCCAATATATATATATATATATATATATATAGAGAGAGAGAGAGAGAGAGAGAGAGAGAGCTCTGTTTATGACAGCAGACTCTGATAACAGCATACCTCCCAGTAACCTAAACTTTCCATTGCGTATTATAAATAGAAATCTACAAAAAGGTGGCTTTCCCCACATTTATTTCTGTCATGGCTGTGTAGTTCCACTCCTTTTTTTTAATTACCCTGGTATAAGAATGATATTCGTGAACGTCAATTTTTACTGAGAAATTGTTAATTCGCAAGATTCGAATCTTTCAAATATTTTAAGACAACCCAAATCACTAAACACTTTAATGCAAATCAAGCCGATTCCATGAGGATAAAGTCCTTAGACTTGTTACATGTATAGTAGACCTACTCCAGCATGATCATGATGATAGATGTTCACTGCAAGATACTTTTGACTTAGCGGCGCGTATTAAGCTAGGAGCGGTCACAGGTACTTGTGGACAGGACCCCCCCCCCCCCCCAATGTACCCCCTGGATCAAAAAATATTTTTATGTCTTTTTTCCATAAATTATTCTTCTAGTACACATTTACAATGTATTCCATAAGAAAAATTAAAAAAAAATAACACAGAATTAACGTTTTACTAAAAAAAAAAATCATACCCGTTGTATTATAAAATAGAGTATGATTTTTTAGTAAAACATTAATGTCCACAAGAAGCTGTGGGAGCGGTAGGAACGTTAACCGAGACTAGGAGTAGTGGTTTTTATCATGCATAAAGATATTAGATCTGGTATACTTTTTTGTGAGCAAAGATAATTATGGATATATATATATATATATATATATATATATATATATATATATATATATATATATATATATATATATATCAGTCTTTATTTTTATATATATACAACCTGACATCGACCGTTTCAAATTTCAAATCAGTTTGAAAATTTGATATTTTGGATATTTGAAGTAAAATTCTAAAAACTCAAAATGTAAAGAGTGTTTTTTTGGTTATTTATTAATTATCTCGTGTGGGGTGGGGGGAGGGGGTTGATGAAGGGCCATATAGTTTACATGTAAACAGATGATTATCATGTAAAAAATTGTTGCAAAACACGTGTACTTACCATAAGTATAAACGACCCATATTACTCGACCTGATTCTATTTTTGAAAACGGGAGAAACTTTTCTATTTTTAGAAAGATATACCAATTTACTTACATAGAGTGTTTACGGATAAAGGTTCTCGTTAAGAAGCATTCATTAACAATGTGAATATGAATAAATAAGCAATGTTAAGTTGGTATTTTATTTCAAATCTATAAAGGATTGGTATGAATATAAAGGGAAAGTTTTAAAGAAAGCTGAAATTATTTGTCCAATGCTAGTATTGTAAGTAATTGAATTCTCAAGCGTGGCGGTGTACTGACTTTTTTACGAGCTAGAAAGCTGACTGCATGTATAATATACCATCAAATCTATTAAGGAAATGATGAAATGATGACCAAGATGATCTTAAAGCTAAAAAAAAAATAGCCACTTTGTTTGAAATAAAGTTAAACTAAAACGTCTAAAATTATTAAATAGTAATATTCATGTTTCAGCTATTATATGCTAGATCATTCATGCAGACAACAATTGATTTCAGTTGATCATATTTGATTTCCCTTTAACAAAATTTTCCAGTCCCACTACACCCCCCCCCCCCCAATATATATATATATATAGAGAGAGAGAGAGAGAGAGAGAGAGAGAGAGAGAGAGAGCTCTGTTTATGACAGCAGACTCTGATAACAGCATACCTCCCAGTAACCTAAACTTTCCATTGCGTATTATAAATAGAAATCTACAAAAAGGTGGCTTTCCCCACATTTATTTCTGTCATGGCTGTGTAGTTCCACTCCTTTTTTTTAATTACCCTGGTATAAGAATGATATTCGTGAACGTCAATTTTTACTGAGAAATTGTTAATTCGCAAGATTCGAATCTTTCAAATATTTTAAGACAACCCAAATCACTAAACACTTTAATGCAAATCAAGCCGATTCCATGAGGATAAAGTCCTTAGACTTGTTACATGTATAGTAGACCTACTCCAGCATGATCATGATGATAGATGTTCACTGCAAGATACTTTTGACTTAGCGGCGCGTATTAAGCTAGGAGCGGTCACAGGTACTTGTGGACAGGACCCCCCCCCCCCCAATGTACCCCCTGGATCAAAAAATATTTTTATGTCTTTTTTCCATAAATTATTCTTCTAGTACACATTTACAATGTATTCCATAAGAAAAATTAAAAAAAAATAACACAGAATTAACGTTTTACTAAAAAAAAAAAATCATACCCGTTGTATTATAAAATAGAGTATGATTTTTTAGTAAAACATTAATGTCCACAAGAAGCTGTGGGAGCGGTAGGAACGTTAACCGAGACTAGGAGTAGTGGTTTTTATCATGCATAAAGATATTAGATCTGGTATACTTTTTTGTGAGCAAAGATAATTATGGATATATATATATATATATATATATATATATATATATATATATATATATATATATATATATATATATCAGTCTTTATTTTTATATATATACAACCTGACATCGACCGTTTCAAATTTCAAATCAGTTTGAAAATTTGATATTTTGGATATTTGAAGTAAAATTCTAAAAACTCAAAATGTAAAGAGTGTTTTTTTGGTTATTTATTAATTATCTCGTGTGGGGTGGGGGGAGGGGGTTGATGAAGGGCCATATAGTTTACATGTAAACAGATGATTATCATGTAAAAAATTGTTGCAAAACACGTGTACTTACCATAAGTATAAACGACCCATATTACTCGACCTGATTCTATTTTTGAAAACGGGAGAAACTTTTCTATTTTTAGAAAGATATACCAATTTACTTACATAGAGTGTTTACGGATAAAGGTTCTCGTTAAGAAGCATTCATTAACAATGTGAATATGAATAAATAAGCAATGTTAAGTTGGTATTTTATTTCAAATCTATAAAGGATTGGTATGAATATAAAGGGAAAGTTTTAAAGAAAGCTGAAATTATTTGTCCAATGCTAGTATTGTAAGTAATTGAATTCTCAAGCGTGGCGGTGTACTGACTTTTTTACGAGCTAGAAAGCTGACTGCATGTATAATATACCATCAAATCTATTAAGGAAATGATGAAATGATGACCAAGATGATCTTAAAGCTAAAAAAAAAATAGCCACTTTGTTTGAAATAAAGTTAAACTAAAACGTCTAAAATTATTAAATAGTAATATTCATGTTTCAGCTATTATATGCTAGATCATTCATGCAGACAACAATTGATTTCAGTTGATCATATTTGATTTCCCTTTAACAAAATTTTCCAGTCCCACTACACCCCCCCCCCAATATATATATATATATATATATATATATATAGAGAGAGAGAGAGAGAGAGAGAGAGAGAGAGAGAGAGAGAGCTCTGTTTATGACAGCAGACTCTGATAACAGCATACCTCCCAGTAACCTAAACTTTCCATTGCGTATTATAAATAGAAATCTACAAAAAGGTGGCTTTCCCCACATTTATTTCTGTCATGGCTGTGTAGTTCCACTCCTTTTTTTTAATTACCCTGGTATAAGAATGATATTCGTGAACGTCAATTTTTACTGAGAAATTGTTAATTCGCAAGATTCGAATCTTTCAAATATTTTAAGACAACCCAAATCACTAAACACTTTAATGCAAATCAAGCCGATTCCATGAGGATAAAGTCCTTAGACTTGTTACATGTATAGTAGACCTACTCCAGCATGATCATGATGATAGATGTTCACTGCAAGATACTTTTGACTTAGCGGCGCGTATTAAGCTAGGAGCGGTCACAGGTACTTGTGGACAGGACCCCCCCCCCCCCCAATGTACCCCCTGGATCAAAAAATATTTTTATGTCTTTTTTCCATAAATTATTCTTCTAGTACACATTTACAATGTATTCCATAAGAAAAATTAAAAAAAAATAACACAGAATTAACGTTTTACTAAAAAAAAAAAATCATACCCGTTGTATTATAAAATAGAGTATGATTTTTTAGTAAAACATTAATGTCCACAAGAAGCTGTGGGAGCGGTAGGAACGTTAACCGAGACTAGGAGTAGTGGTTTTTATCATGCATAAAGATATTAGATCTGGTATACTTTTTTGTGAGCAAAGATAATTATGGATATATATATATATATATATATATATATATATATATATATATATATATATATATATATATATATATATATATATATATATATTACTTTAATATGTCTAAATAACTCAAATAAATAAATACCTGAAACCCGAGAGCTCAGTTACAGGGACTTCGCGCCCTAAATCCCCACTATGGTTTTGCCCTGGACCCGAGGGGCTAGGTCCCCCAGATGCTGGGTCTTCTATAAAGGAAGAGTGAATAAAAAGACAACTTCTGAATAGTAATTAATATGCATGGGTACAATTAAACATGCATTTTAGCACATCAATGCATACATTATACGTAACGTACAACATCCCTGCTATTCAAAATTCATGATTAAAAATATTCACTTTCCTTAATGAGATTCTTTTTAAGTGACCTCTTCGTACTTATACATGTGTGACCTGGTTTTACGGCAGTCATATCGCAAGTGCCTACCACGAAGCAGGGACAATTATTTATTGCAGCTTTGTAGATGGGTCGATCTGGCTGGGGTTTTCCTCAAGTGTTCGCTATAAATATAAATCTTGACAGAGCAAGGTGGAATTAACTTCGCATTGAAATCGACAATTTTGGTAAGTTTTCCTCTCTCTCTCTCTCTCTCTCTCTCTCTCTCTTGATTTCTGCTCCTGCTGCTTGCTCCAGATGAGACTAAGCAATGCTTCATCAGGCTTGCGCCATTGTTGTACAACATGGGTAAGGGAGCTGAAGGTTTTGCCCAGATCGACACCCTGTGTCTGCAAAACTTCATCATGATGTGATGTGGTTTAATTCAATGCATGTAAAATGCTATACTTGGGTATGTTAATGCTGAAAGAGGGTGGATGGGGTTACACCTGTTTTAAAGGAAGAAGGGATCTTCTCCGTATACAGGTATAGAGCTCTGAACAGAATTTACACGTCAGAAAACACATTTTTTAAAAAAAAAAAAACCTCATTTGACTCTGAAAGTAGATATTTATCTTCTATAATCAATATATACCTAAGATATAAGTAATATATATATATATATATATATATATATATATATATATATATATATATATATATATATATATATATATATATATATATATATATATATATAATGGAACTTTTAGTTTTTATTAACTATCATGCAAAATTTTGTTTACGATTGAAGAGTATATTTTCTGGTATGTCAGATCACATCTGTAGACTAGTAAAAATCTTGGTAATGGATTTTAAGTAATACATGTATTCATAACCAGTAGCAAATTTAGACCAGGACAAGGCTCCACGCCCTTTTGTCATAAAAAAGAGTCATGATTTAAAAGCAAACCTGTATAAAGTATTGATGTAGATAATTACAATAGCTTACCTTAAATAATGTACTTTCTTTGTTAATAAGGAAAATTTTCCTGTAATAAATATCAACTGTCATATAAAAGTTTCGGTAGTCGTGAATGCTACTATACTAGCACGTACAGCTGTTCAGCTGTTCTTTTAAACACGCAAAGGTGTATACACAATACTAGACTTCGTTGGTGTTCCTCTCTTTGTTACATAATAAATCATTCATCTTTATGTTAACCTCAACAGAAAAGTCACATCTAGATGTAGTGCATTTTTCGATTATCAACTAACTGGTACCCTATCTTCGTTTTCATTTAGATACATGTGAATTTATAAAGCGGGGTTCTTAGTTATATGAATCAGGATAAGAACACAACCGACAGCACTGTGCACAACAAACAGTTCCATGACAAAATAAACAGTATCTCACAATATAGTGTAATATATACAAATTCACATGCTTTTAAAATGAATGTTCCAAATCAGCCATGGGCTGATCCCTACTCCGGAATGAAGGTCAGAATCTAGTCCTAGTGTTCCAATCTTCTCTGAAGCGTCTGTGAAATGAGGGCATGTATCTCAAGGTTTTGGGGTCAATAAATGTAAGGACTGCACGTCCTCGCGAGTTATGTTTGGAAAGTGGTTATGCGATATTTATGGCTTGTCGCAGTGGAAAATAATTGTTCAAAGTATGAGTCCTGATTTATCGTAGGTAAAATTTTAAACAGTAAAATGTAGAAAAGAATTAAATATTTGATGCATGTAGTAAACGTCAAGAAGATGAGCACAAGAGAGGGCGTAAAGGCGACAATATGTACCTACCCTTACTGCACATATTGTTGTTCATTGTGTACATATTAACACCGGCGACAAGATATGCCGAGAATTTTTTCTTCCTGCAGAATGGGCGACAAAATGTATCTTACATATCGGCACATATTGTCGCCAGCGTCAATACGTTCTGCAAACATTTGCACATTTTGTTGCCAAAAACATCGTTTTGAAGAATATTTTATTGGAATTGGAGAGGGGGGGGGGGAAGAAAGGGAGCTTTTCTTTTTTTTTTTTTTTTTAAGTAAATTAATATCAATCATGTCAATCGCACTAATCTATTCATCTCCTCAGAGTAACTTGTATATATTAAATAAGCATATTTTAGCTGATTCACTGGACTTATTGTGCGTAACCAACCCACCCACCCCACCCACCCCAAAAAAATGATTTGTCGTTTACAAAACAATTTTATGAAAACTGAAGATATAATTTTCGATTTTATATATACACACGAATATTGTTATACTCCGAGAACAGCTGACTGTAAGTATTATAAGAATTGACTAGTTAGCGCGCTTCATAGGGCTACGTGAAAAATCTGAGTGATTAGAAAGTTTAGAGGGAAAAAGATAGCCTGCCCTGAAATAAATAATTGTGAGTAGACCAGATTGCTACTGCATATGTTATGCTTTTCATTGGTAGACATATCACCGTTCCTTGTTGCATTGTGACAAAATCTCATCTAATCCGATATAAGAGGAGCAACTCATTTTAGCTTAAAATTCTGAAATACATATAATACAACAACGTATACATATATTAGAACATGAGTCACAGATGTTGAAATTAGTGAAATGTAAGAAGAAAAACAGTACAATCTAGATAAATGTAGATACCATATGAACAAATGAACAGATGAATACTTAGTTTAAATATTATCTCACCATCCACGGTGCTTACAACTTAATTTAAGCAAATGAAAGTCAGAGAAATCATTTTATGTCATTGTAGCTCGGCTATTTTTAAATTTCTTCAAAGCTCTGATCATTAATGAGCACCTGTATTGCTGATTTCATTAACTGTATGACTTAAAACATTAACAATAATTCTAGTTGACTAGAGAGTGAGCATGGCAAAGGCAGCCAATGATATCAAAGATTCTGACGAGTTTAGAGGAAACCCTTCGCTGTGGAGGAATGATGGCAGTTTGAAAGTTACCAAGAAAAGGTAATCCTCCATGTCATTTCCTTCGAATAAATCTGCAAAATCAGAAGTAGATTTGAATGAATAATTTATGTAAAACTTTCATTTCAGTGGAACAGTTGGAAATATAAAGGTATGTACTGAATTTTATAGATTCAAAGTTCAAAGTTTTATTCTTATTTAGTTTTTATTTTAGCTCACCTGAGCCGTAAGCTTAAGTGAGCTTTTCTGATAACCTGGCGTCTAGCTGTCTGTTCGTCCGTTTGTCTGTAAGCCTTTCACATTTTCGGCATCTTCTCAAGAACCACTGGGCCAATTTTAACCAAAGTCAATACAATCCTTGGTTTAAGGCGATTTTACATTGGCCAAATGAAGGACCAACCCCCTTCCATGAGGAGATAATCGAGAAAAGGGCAAAAATAGGGTGGTGTCTTTGAAAAATCTTCTCAAGACCCGACGGGCCAGAAAAGATGATACTTTTGAGAAAACTTCTCGAGGTAGTATAAATTCTAAATTATTCAAACTATAGCCACAAGGAGAGTGGGGCAAAAATTGGCGATCAAAGTTTTACATTCAAATTATAGAGAAAATCTTTGAAAATCTTATGAACAACGGGACCAGAGAAGGCTAAACTTGTGTGAAAGCATCCCCTACATGTGTAATCACAGGCCCGTAGGAAGCAATTTCAGTTGGGGGGGGGGGGGCACAGCCATACATTTTTCAATTGACAGTTGAGGGGGCACTATTAAAAATTTCCTGACAAGCAAAAAAAAAAAAAGGTCATCAGACGTTTTTATTGAGGGGGCACAAGCATATAGTATCTATGTTTACTATAGTAATCTATATATCGGCAAAATTATTGGGGGGGGGGCACGGCCCCCCTGCCCCCCCCCCCCGGTTCCTACAGCCATGAATCATAAGGTTGTGTAGATTCTAAATGCTTCAAATCATAACCCGAGAGGTGGTGTGGAGCTAGTATAGAAGATCAAAGTTTTACACAGGAATATTTAGGAAAAGTCTTCTTCTCTTAAGCCACTAGACCAGAAAAGATGAAACTTAATGGGGCAGGGGGGGCCCATAGGACTCTTGTTTATCTAGTCATATCCATATATATTGAAAATCAAATGCTTGCAATCGATTTTTTTTTTCGATCAGGCAATGCTTATCCTCTTGACGAACCTCAAGTGGAAATAGTGTAAACTGTTTACAAGCATTGCATCTTGTTAAACGAAGCTAAATAGTAGATTGATGAATTCTTGTCTTTACTACTGCAAAAGATATTATTTCTTTAAAACACATTACCATATAACAGTAATTCAACAGTGCAGTTTTTGGCTCATCTGAGCCGAAGGTTGAAGTGAGCTCTTCTGATCACATTTTGTCCTAAGTCCCTCTCAAAACTTTTTACATTTTCGACTTGACATCCAGAACCACAGGGTCAATTTCAACCAAATTTGTCACAAAGCATCCTTGGGTGAAGGGAATTCAAGTTTACCAAATGAAAGGCCATGCCTGCCCTCTTTCAAGGTAGATTTAAAGTTAGTGAAAATTCGGTGGCACCAATCAAAATCTTCTCCTAAAGGAACCACATCAAAATCTACATAGGAATATATTGGAAAAAATCTTTAAAAACGTTCTTCTCAAGAACGGCAAAACCATGTTTAGTCATACTGATATGAAAGCATCCTCAGGTAGTGTAGATTCAAGTTTGTTCAAGGTAAGGTCCTCAGGGGGTAGGATGGGGCCACAACAGGGGATAAAAAATTACAATGGAATACATGGGGAAAAACCTTTAAAAATCTTCTTAAAGGTGCTTAGACACAGATTTGAACCTAATTTTTTTCTCAAATTTTCTGTATAATATCACGACTTATATATTGCTATAGCATTTCACACGAAAATATAATTAAAAACTTATTATATCTGGAAATTATTGGAACTACGAATTCCGGGACGCGTTTGATTAACACATCTTTGCACTTACACAAATTTTAACTTTATCCTTAATATTTAAGAAAAGAAGCGATTTTGTTACGTATTAATGAAAAATATTACATCTATAATCCAGAAAAATTCAGAGAAAAATGTTCGAAAGCAAAACCAGCTCACCAATATTGTCAGTCCGTGCTCTGTAATGTGTATAGAGTTTAACAAATTGAACACACCCGTGAAGCGTAAAACTGTTTTTGTAAACAGGGCACGAGCTCTGTTATTGTTAATGTTTACGATTCACCGGGTGAGTTCAATTGTTAAACTCTGCACTCACCACTGAGCACGGACTTACAATACTGTGAGTGGGTTTTGCTTTCGAACATTTCTACTCTGAATTTTTTGGGTTATACTTTTAATATTTTTCATTAACACACAACAAAATTGCCACTTTTCTTAAGTATTAAGAATAAAATTAAAATATGTGAAAGAGCAAGGATGTGTCAATCCAACGCGTCCAGAAATTCGAAGTTTTAATAACTTCGAGATGAAATAAGATTTGTATTATATTTTAGTATGAAATGCTATAGCAACATACAAGTCATGAAATTATACAGAAAATTTGAGAAAATATTAACTTCAAATCTGTGTCCAAGCACCTTTAAAGCTGAACACGACTCTTAAGCACCCAATTTTATGTTAACGCCCTCAAAATTTACCTACTTCAAGATCAATAATGAACCGCCTGTCAATCATTTAAAAAACAATAGCTTCTGATTTGATTGACGGGCCAGCTACGTGGGCTACCTGATAATCTGAGTTTGCATGTTTTGAAAACAATTACCTGGTCACGCGTCAAACGCTTTCATGTACCGCGTGAATGGTCGCTTTGTATACACTCTGGTTAAAAAAAATCATGTCGCTGTTATATTGGTTGATAATTTTATTGTTAAAAGTTATTGAGAGTAGATAATTAAACAATGACTGCGTGATTTTTTTTTCAATCTCCACTGCTGTTTTGTACTTGTCAGCGATATGACGTCCAAGATAACTGTAGATATTTTTAAAGAAAAATTAGCGGATATTCAAGCCCTCTCTTCCTTCAATAACTGAGATCCGGAGAGAGAAGTTTCCGTAGCCGCACAGACAGATAATTCTTCCGATCCCCTTACTCAACCTGTGCCTTGATTTTAAGAATGTAATGCCCTTGTCGACCTTGCACTTGGATACACACAAACTCAAATCGCCATAATTGGAAACAATCAACCCTCTCCCCCACCATTGAAAATTAAAACAAAATGCAATGGATTAAATAAGAAAAGATATTTATACTAATATAAATAAAGTATCTTGTATCTAGCGCCGTGAATTACGAAAGATTCCTTTTATATCGAAATCTGTAAACAGGGCATAAGAACACGGACCCTCGGAAATGGCGAATATTTGTTCACCATTGTTCGTCAGAAAAATAAATAATATTCCGATCGTGGTAAACATCCACACAATAAGTGGAATCTTTTTATTTCAATTTTCACACTTAATATTTTATAATTTCTTTTATTGGCGATTAAAATATTGATGATTGCTTTGTAGTTTTCACCCGTTTATTTTAATTTTACGATTTAAAAAAAAGAGATGTCTTTTTAATTTTTTCTTCTTCAAAAGATATCGACGAAAACGCTAAGTCTACAAATTTTATATTCAGTACATAATTTATTTTAAATATTTTCACTCAAAATTATGCACGAAACGCGTAATGTTGACCCTGATTACCAAAAGCCAGACTTCCTGTGTAATGCAGCGTGTATAGGGATTTTTGACATCTTGAGTATTGGGACTCTCCAGGTGAATAACACCAGTACTACCAAGACCACTCCCCCTCCTCAGGTAACCGTACGGTAAAAAAATTGGGTCTTTAAATAGGCAGAGCCATTTTCGTTATTACTATCTTCGATATCAGCACCGGGGTATACTCTTTGCATTCGTTACACCTGACTGCTATATTGTCAAGGGTCAGGCCCGTAGGAAGCAATTTCAGTTTGGGGAGAAAAAGAAAAAGGTCATCAGACGTTTTTATTGAGGGGGCATAAGCATATAGTATCTATGTTTTCTATAGTAATCTATATATCGGCAAAATTATTGGGGGGCACGGCCCCCCGTGCCCCCCCCCCTCGGTTCCTATGGCCATGCGGGTGTGGAATGGCGACCCGTGTTCGTGCTGGTTATCTTGCATGACCTTTGTTTACATTTTATTGCAGTCACGTGTATTTGTGTTTGCTTATACTGCATTGACCTGTGCAGCTGTTGTAAGTCTCTTTGGTATCTTACTCGCCTGCTTTAGAAGAAGAACACAGTTATTTTTTGTTGCTACGAGTACTGTATAGCACACCGTCTACACCGGTGACGATTGATTACACTGAACAGTGACTAAGTGAGCGGCTCTATATATAAGGGCACTCAGATATAGCGAGAGTCCAATCGAATATGGCGGACACATTCATTTTACGAATTGTGTTCAGCTTTAAGAAAAGCAAAGTTATGATTAGTCATATTAATATATATATATATATATATATATATATATATATATATATATATATATATATATATATATATATATATATATATATATATATATATATATATATATCCCCAGGTAATGTAGATTCAAATTTGTTCAAATCAGGACCCTAGGGGGTTTGGTAGGGTCTAAATAGGGAATCAAATTTTACATAAGAATATATATAGAAGGGAAAAAACTGCCGATGAAGAACAACAGGGCCATATCGAGCGTTGCGGCCCATGGATCTCTTTTTATCGTTATACTGCAATTTTTTTCGTTGTCTAAAGAAATTTATCATTTATCAACTTGACATTTAGGGAGATCAGAAAGTTGTGTGCACAATATGTTCAGAAATTGGAGAAGAGGCAGAGGCAATTATGGTTTGCAAGGAGCCCGATTGCAAGGAAAAGTTATGCAATGGTTGTGCCAAACGACACCAAAAGCAAAGGGCAACGAAAGATCATGAAGTTATCAAACTGGAGGATGACGTATCTAGTGAAGATGGTGTCTTCTGTGAGTTGTGCGAAGATGAAGATGTCCCTGGCTTTGGATATTGTACAGATTGCGATGACCCGGAAGTTCTTTGTAACAAATGCTGCAAGCGTCACACTGCATCCAGAAAATTCCAGAATCATAAAATTTCACAAGATTTGAAATTACTTCAAAATTTGTAAGGCGATTTTATTGAAATATTTTAGTGAAATTATGATTACTAGTACATGAAAGCTTAAGAAAACATAAATAAGTTAAATAAAAAGTTAATGAACCCAAAATACTCATTTTGTCTTTATAGGCGAAAACTACCGCAAAGTCTTTCATCGCAAGCAGTTGTAAATAAAAGTAACAATCCAGCCAGATCCCACCTAAGAAATGGCACCCAAACTAGAATTGCAGTACCAGAAATTTCATCTAGCTTTCAATGTGAACCTTGCCGTTTTGAAAAAAATACGGTTTCTGCAACTCAATTCTGTCTTGATTGTGCAGAACCAGAGCCAATGTGTACGCCTTGTGCTCAGCAACATCTAAGACAGAAGGTTGGTCGAGGTCATAACTTGTCAAAGGGTATGCTGCAATTTCGGACACGACAAGGAGCGTTTTCTTCCAGACAAGAAAATAGGTATGGATTTGATGAAAACAAAATACAAACATAGCTTTACCATTCGTATGATTGACAATTTAATCAAAAATAATTTTTTTTCTGAAAAGTGGAACAGTTTCATCCCAGGGACATATTGACAAAGAGGACTGCGTGAGTTTATCTAAATTATAAATTGCCAATGCCAATGAACAAAGTTAAAAAAACGAAATAAACATTGTCAATGATGTTGATATATCGGATTCTCATTTTTCAATGAGATTCTCGTTATTTTTCATTTGAGAGTTAACGGTAACTGTTAAGATTTTTACTACTCTGTTGAATGTTAAATCTCAAGTTTGAAATGATTTTTTTTTCTTTTTTCCCCTTTAATTACACAGTCACAAAAAGATATTAGTTAAATTTTTGTACAAGTACACAAAACATATCACATCAATTAAAAGTGACATAATTATCCAGAACCTATCATAATGACAGTAATTATTACTTTGAATATGTTGTTTTTTCTCATCACATTCTGAAGATGCCTGGAAAACCAGTGCCTGGCATTGTAAAATCGGATTCTGTCAAACTGCACTGGCGGAGATGCGATGGTGTGGACAGCTATCAAATACGATATAAAAGTAAATCTGGGAAGGAAAACTGGAAAATAATCCAGACTGATGATAACAAAAGTGAAATTACCATTGAAGGTCTAATGGCTGATACTACGTACATTTTCCAAGTCCGGGGAGTCAAGGGGGACATTGAAGGTTCCTACAGTCAGGCTAACGAAGAAATAAGAACACAAGCATCTCTAGCTTCTTATTTTCTGTCTTACTCAGTTCAGCTTAGCAACGGTAATCCTTCCAAGTTTGAGCTGCCATTCACGGAAAATTCTAGGGCAAGAAATCAGCACCACAAGATACGTCAAATATGCTTAGGTAAATCTCTTTTTGTCATTAATGCATGTATTTTTATCTATTGATATGTTGCTAAACAATGTCTTCATTTCGTGTAATTTGTTTTAATGAAGGTGACATGACAAACAGAGGAAATCGGGAGGTGGAGAAAACTATTATGTTGGTTGGTTCCACTGGATCAGGCAAGAGCACACTGGTGGATGGCATTGTAAACTATGTAATGGGTGTGAGTTTTGAAGATCCATTTCGATTTACGCTTGTGAAACTAGAGGATGAAGAACGACGTAAAACAGGAAATCAAGTAATTTTTTTTTATTTAATAAATAATGTGATTCAAATCTTGTCACCAAAGAGTTGCAAAATTCAATGATTATCGTCAATTTGATATAATATCTACATTAATATTTTATAGGCAGTTTCTCAGACAGAATGGATTACCGTTTACAAAATCGTTCCTCAAAGAGGAGGAAGACTGGACTACACCCTGAATATCATTGATACCCCAGGCTTTGGAGACACCAGGGGACCAGAGAGAGACGACGCCATAGTAGACCAAGTCCGATATCTTTTCTCTGCAAAGGGAGAAGAGGGTGTCCTTTTCCTAGATTCTGTTTGTTTCATTGTTAAGGCACCTGATGCTCGCCTCACTCCTGTTCAGAAATATATATTTCATGCAATCATGTCCCTTTTTGGAAAAGATATTGAATCAAACATTTGTACGTTGATAACTTTTGCTGATGGAGCAGATCCACCTGTTTTGGCATGTCTAAGAGAAGCCAAACTTCCTTTTGGAAATACATTTCAGTTCAACAACTCAGCACTGTTTGCCACGAACAAAAATCTTCAAAGCAACTCTCTCTCCCCGTTTTTCTGGGAAATGGGTTGCAAAAGTTTTGAAGCATTTTTCAGACATATGAAGAGATTCGAGACAAGAAGCTTGTCACAGACACAAGATGTCTTACACGAAAGAGAACAGTTGAAAACAATCATATGCAGCATTAGACCTCAGATAACAGCAGGGTTATCAAAACTGAGTGAGTTAAGAGAACAGTTGGAGCTTTTCAACCGGCACAAAAATGATATTGAAAGCAATAAAGATTTTACCTATGATGTGGAGGAGACGAGACAGATCAAAACAGATTTGCCTAGAGGACAGGCTGTTACAAACTGCCTACAGTGTCACGTGACCTGTCACGAAGACTGCCATATTAGAGATGATGACCAAAAGAGGAAATGCTCTTCCATGACCGATGGCTATTGTAGAGTCTGCTTTGACAATTGCTACTGGGATCAACATAAAAACACACCATACATATTTTCGTACGTAACGGAAACTGTCACTAAAACCTACCAAGAAATGAAGGATCGGTACGAGAAAGCAATTGGTGAAAAGCTAACACATGAGAAGTATATAAAAGAATTGACGATGGACGTTGACGACCTAATGGACAACATTATGGATATGATGAATGAAATGAATCGCTGCAAGACCAGACTGAAAGAGATTGCATTAAGGCCAGAGGCACTCACTACTGTTGAGCACATAGATCTGATGATCCAAGCAGAAGAATCTGAGAGACAGCCAGGGTATACAAAAAGGATCAAAATGCTTCAAGAAATGAAAAGAATGGCATTGGTTGATAAGGACTATCAAAATTTGGATGCCAACTTCCGTAACACTTGTAATGACATAACTAGCGCCGTCGGTAAAGAGTTTCGAGGAAGACGTAGAATTAAGACGCGTCGTCAGCCTAAAGGAAGAAACCAAGGTGTTGTTGCTCGAGGAATTAATATGGTGAAAAAGTTGTTCGGAGAAGTAGCCTGAAATTATCAGCCAATGTTGCTTGGATTAGAATAATCTTTATTTATCTTAGTTGCATTTTATATGAATTGCTATTATTGTGGTATTATTTGCAATAAAAAGTGTGCTGTACAGTCCTTTTTTTAACTTTTAAATGATTTTCAATGCAACGAAATTAATACATGGTATAAAAGTATTGCTTAAACACTCAGGTATTCTATTAAAGAAAGGAGTGATCAATATTTCTTCTAGAACTCTAAGCGAACATTTTATTGCTGGACATTCGAATTTTGTAATGGGAGGAAAAGGTTTTGTAGCGCTTGCCTTTAATCATGATTATTCTCCAACTTTACGTATTATTCTTATATGTCAAGAAACACTGGCAAGGCTCGTGTCTTTCGACAATAAAAAAAATTAAGGAAGTTGAATTGGAAAAGAAGAGAACCAGAAATTAAAGTCTTACGAGTTTGAAACCTGCAATTATGTATTATTAAATGTTCCTTTTAGTGTATTATTCATTATCTGTGAAAAAATATCTATGTAAGGTTTGTCATTCGTTAGATAGGCATGCGGCAACTTAAACACTTAAAAGGTAAAGAGAATTCTGATTACAAACTTCCATCATTTATCAGTTGACCATTTTACCGATGGTCAGTTAATAAAAATGGAATTGCTTCTCGTAAAAATACAAGAGAAGAATGAAAAAAGTGAAGGCAACGAGAGTTGATCGATCTTAACAAGAGGCCTATGGGTAGAAAATCAGAAATCAGTTTATTATTGAAAAAATTAAGTATATAAGTGGTCCCGATCTATTGCCCCAGGTGGGTGGAGGGGAGAGAGGGGAATGATTTGAACAAACTTGAATCTAACAGAAAATGTTTCCATATTTCTTTGACAAATGGCTTTAGAATAAACATTTTTCCCTATCAGTTTTATCTTTTATTGTGGCCCGACCCTACTACATTGTACCTTTAATTTTAACAACTTGAATCTAAACTTCCTGCGGATGCTTCTTTATTAATATGACATCATGGCGTAGCTGTTCTTGAGAAGAATATTTTAAGGTGTTTTCCTATGTACGTGTGTATTTCTATGTTAAACTTTGATTGCCTATTGAGGCCCCATCCTAGTCCTGGGGTCATGATTTGAACAATTTAAAATAACATTACCTGAGGATGCTTAAATATAGATATATGACCAATCGTGGCTTTGCTGTTCTTGAGAAGATTTTCCCATGTATTCCTATGTAAAACTTTGATCATCCATTATGGCCCACCATATCCCAGACCGACACGCAAGAAAAAAAAAAGATCGGAGAAACTCACTTGAGCATTCGGCTCAGGTGAGCTAAAAATCAACAAATAAAAAAATACCTATTTGTAAACAAGGATAACACATGGACCCCAAGAAATTCCAAAGGGTGAGGTCAGGTGCCTAGAAGGAGTGAACATCCCCCGTTAACCGGACACACCGGCCGTGTGCCCTATGTATTGATCGGGTAGACGGAGCTTTAATCCGTAGTTATATTCAGTATAAAACAAAGGCTTAACAATTTGTATGAAATAAGTCAGCCAAAATATGATAGGCTATATTTGCTAACAAGGTCATTATAACGACCAAAGACATTACGAAATACCGACTTTTAACGAGGTTGATGAAATCTCCGTAACATCAACTTATCTGTCAGTAGCGTGTCTGGGTTTAAAAATTGATCGTAATCGAAGCATGTTATTGAGTTTAAAAGAAATGGAAGATGTAAATACCATATGCAGGTTAAATGCAGGGATATTACTAAATAACTAAATAAGAAAATTGACGATGGAAAAGCTTAAGTCATCTCGAATGCAATTCAATACATTTAGTTGTTAGTTGGCCCTTATCGTCTATAGTCAGTAAAACATGTGATAGACTATATGGCTTTTTTTTTTATTTTAAGTTCACTGAGATAATTGCAGTAACTATTAACAATTGACAAAAAGAAGCGATGATAAGAGAATGACGTCAAGATAGACGGAGATGACATAAATGTTCGACTTTCTTTAGAAAATGCGGGTATTTAAAGGGAAATAAATAAAACTGTATTATTGGTTTATTATAGAAGCGATTGCTTTATATACGCCCCCTGCTCCTCCTATATACTCTACTGCATGGTTAGTTATGCAATGCATTATTGATCTCGCTCTGCAGAAAGTTCTTTCAAATAAGATCCTGTAAAGCCTTTAAATTCAAATTTTGCAGTTTTATAAAGCTTAAAAGGCTTGAGAACAGATCGATAAAATTATGAATAAATGGGTTTGCAAAGGTCTGTTGCAGCATCCTTATTTCATAACTTTATGTGTCTAATTCCTTAGTTTATAAACTTATGGATTGAATCCAACATAAATCGACGTTTTTCTCATTTATCTGATGATTATTATCTGACTCTATTTTACCACTTTCGTTTTTTATGAAGTGTATTCTATTAATAGTAATACCTATTCGTTGTTGTGTCGGTAACCTGTTGGGATATGGCGTGTTTAACACAAAGGAATAGGAATTTTGAAAGTTCTTCCATTTTTGGATTCCAGTCCTCATCTTTGTTTAACTTATGTAAATGAGTAAACATGTAAGTATATAATTATGTAAATGAATAAAAAAAAAGACATTTATTTTTTTTTTATGTAAAATTAATCGTATCATTCAAAATTTTGGTAATTTTATACAAAATAAATATGAATCTGAAAAGCAAGTAAAATAGAGAATACCTTGATAATTATATACTAGTATAATAGAACTACTAATTTACAATCAAATTTGCACGTCTCAGGGTACACACCTGAAGACAATGGCTTGATGTAAATTGTTGATGATGGTGGCTTTTAGACGGAGACTCAAATGATACAAGGGGTCGAGTACTTTGTGTCAATTACAAGCCTTTCAATCTGTCATTTAAACTAACGACATAAAATAATTCCATTTTAAGTGTCTGAATGAATATCATAAACATGTTGATAAAAATAAAGAAAAGACACGACGAAACAGAATGGTTGGAATGAGAAAATGGCGAAGTCATGACCAGAATATGTCGAAAATGGAGCAGCCCCTACCTTTGCTTTTGATATCATTTTTTTCTCATAGTAAACAAAATAATTGTAAATAAACATCTTGTCCCAAAACAGTCCTAGACAATGTTTACAATCTTCCATAGTAATTGTATTTTGATGATTTATAAGCCGATATACTTTGTCGGCGCACGCTGATAATCGGGGGTTATTTACGGTATGTTACAACTGTAGTTTCATCTGTTTCTCTTATAAAAATGTAAACATCAAATTCTTGTTTATGTCAATTAAAATCAAAAACAAACCTTTATATTATGTTTAATTTTCAAGTAAATGACATCGGAAACAGGGGTTTGGAAAAGGAATTTTCAAAGCGTACTCTGAATTGAGTTTGCTGCAAATGACATCGTCAAACGCAATTTTACCCCGGCGCACAGGAATTTGGTAAAATTTTGTTTTAATAGATACCCTCCAAACACAAAAAGATAAGAAGTAGTATAACACACTATAACGTTAGCATTAAAATTATTGCATAAGAAATTCAGGACAATTTCACTTCAGAACTGAAAATAGGAAGTTCTACAATGCAGACAAATGAACTCAGTGGATGAAGAATTTATAGATCAAGGTTGACGTAAACCTCTCTACAGAATTCTTCGCCTCTTATGGATTCCTTGCAAGGAATTAAATTTGAATCTGATCAAGAAATAAAAAAAAAGATAGTCGTGACTTTTAATACATCTTTCACTCAAGAATTGTTTTCCAGTGTATTTGAAAATTCAATAAGATGCCATGAGATACATGTAGCGTACAAAGGCAAGTATTTTGAAAAAGATGGCCATGACGTTGCAAGAGGCAAAATTAACTTTTGCTTTCGTGCAGCGACGTTCATTATTATGTTCTCTTTATTTTTACATTATTTTCTTATTATATAAATAGGTTATTCATCTGAAGGTTGAAATTCAAAATCATTTAATTTTACTTTTTTACTATGACATTAAAAGAAAGTCACGTAAGTGAAGAGAAACTAAATTATTTAAACCTATCAACGACTTTTTGGTACAAACCTCGTAGTTTTAAAGAAATATTTAGGGAGGATTCTTCCAGTAATATTTTTTCTACTGTTTTACTTCCAAAGGGGGAGGGGGTTCTTTGTACCCGGCTAGGCCAGAAAGGTCAAATATTATTATGTTGTCAAATTTTCCCATTAAAAAACGTTTATCAGAATTAAACCTGTTATAGAACCTAGATGAGGACAGTACTAAATATTTTCTCAGGTATTTTTATTTATTTACAATTGCTATAAAAAAATTAACAATGAAGAACATTTGAAATTTTTGCATTTCATCTAGCAAAAAGACGATATGATCAATTTTAGATGTACGTATTTCAGATAAAACTGATGCTACATCAAAGGATTTTAAACAGGAAGCCTTTTAAATAATACATGTATATACTCTATGAATTCTTTTCTTTTTTTGAAAAATAATACATATACGCTTAATATTTCATATAAATCTTACATTTTTCCAGCAATTATGGAAAAAGGAGCCAGTGGTGTAAAGGACTCAGATGAATACTTTTCCATTCTCTCGCTAGATGAAGTATATACTATTATTTAATTCCAATAAATGAATTTGTTCAGTGAGGACTGGCATGGTTAAATAGCAATGCAAAATATGCATACGTTCTAGATCTGAATGTATGTTAAAGAATCCATACAAACCCGTCTTTTTATCTTTTAATGGATTGCGATTGTAAGAAATTTATCTTTATACATGTATATATGTTACAATTATCAAAAACTAATGCTTTAATCCTTTCTTCCTATATTACAAATAGGGAAGACAAAATACTTTGTGCACAATATGTTCTGAAGTAGGAGAAAATGAAAAGGCTGTTATGGTTTGCAAGGAACCCGACTGCGGAGAAATGTTATGTGAAGCGTGCTGTAAAAGACATCGGAAACAAAGAGCCACAAGGGATCATAACGTCATCAAACTGGAGGATGATGTATCAGGTGTTGACGTCTTCTACTGCGAGCTTTGCACAGATGAAGCCGTCCCTGGTTATGGATACTGTATTGAATGTATTGATCCAGAGATACTCTGTGAGAAATGCTGCAGGCGACATACTGCATCTAGAAGATTTCAATACCACCACCTTTCCCAAGATCTCCAATTGCTTAAAAAGATGTAAGACATTAACATTTTAAGATAAAAGATCATTTATCTTTGTCCATTTTTTTTTAATTTCGCCACATTACATTTTCCTTTATATATTGGGTCAAGTCGCCGTCGTGTAGCATTTGTTAGAGCTTTTTTTCTTTGAGTCGCGGAGTTAGGAGTTGATCCTTACGTAGCTGGTTCGAATCCCACTGTAGAGACCGCTCTTTCGGAGGAGATAGTATAAACGGATGTCCCGTGTCGCACCATGTGCTGGCACCAAAAAGATCCCTTACTGCTCAATGGCCCTAAGTAACGAGTAAATGTCTAAATTTTGCAGCCCTCCACCGATGGCGTCTCGATATGAGTTAAAACATCTGGAAAGGGACGTTAAGCAAACAAACAAACAAACAATTTCTAATGAGTCCTTTTTATAATTTTTTTTTTTGACCTCGTTTCAATGAATTCCGCATTTCAAATTTCATCGATGTTAAATCCTTCATTGCCATTGAGACATGTACACAGTGAGAAAAATAGTTATTGTATGCGATTGCTATCCCAGGAGAAAAAAGGTTTCTAAAAACATAACATTTACTGCACCGGTCAGTCCAATAAAAATAACAAAGATGCATGTAAAATACAATGAATATAAAGAAAGAAAACTAAACATAAACCAATGTAGGATAACCCATTTAACTATACGTTGTGCATTCTGGGCCAATAATATGGGGGTTTGTAAAACGTGTTTTGTATAAAACATTTGAATTTGAATGTTTCATTTTATTTGACCAAACCTTTTAACTAATTGATATTCTTTTTAAAAAGTGCACATAGTGGAAAAATATGCATTTTTCTACAGAAATTTTGAGTCCAAATAATAAAACGAGTAAATTGTTTTGAAGATTTACATGTGCATGAAAATCATAGGGGAATATTATTACTGGGGGCTACCTTATATCGTCTTTGACAAGCACCTGTCAAAAAGCAATGAGGTGTAACAAATGCAAATGACATACCTAATGCTGGTTATGGAGAGATGTATGGCGTCTGACTATTAACAAGTCATATTTAGCTTAACCATTTTTTTGAAGTTTAACTTCTTAAGGGGATGAAAGACACATGGTCACATGACTGTTTAACTACGTCATAGTCTCTGTTTATATAAGTGCAAAACATGTAAACCATAAGTTCTTGTATAAATTTTTGACAATTTGTTTTTACATGTACTTTAATTACCAACCTATGTAGAAAAATTTAAAAAAATAGCATTCTTGTAAACATTAACAAATTATGAAATAGATTGATCCACTCCTCTATTTCTCTACACTGTGCGTCCAACACGTCGGTGACGTCATACACGATCTGTTAGTACAGCTAGATCATACTCGATGAATATAGGGGCGGTATTATTATGTAAAAATAGGTCATAATTAGTATATGATGAAATCTTTTGAGAAACGGGGAACACAATAATTATTTTTGCATGGCTGGTGACGGAAATCTTAAGTACGTATACCTTATTTCGCTTATTCAGCTTACGTGTGACGTCATAGTTGGTTTTTCCCTTACTCAAGAAATGTAAACATGACACGTTTTTGTCATGCTTATGTCTTCTTTAACGATGTCCTGTGCAATATTGAGGTCAGCTTCACCATTTGATATTTTTACAGTTAATCAATAATGCGAAGGACTTGCATTTCAACGTAAATTTAGAAATATTAAATGATAGAATTTTTTGCAAATTTATTTATTTATTTTTATTTTTTTTTTTATTTTTTTTTTTATTTTTTATTTTTTGTTGTTGTTTAAGTTGTCTTAAAAAGTACGTAATTTTCCCTATCCAGATGCAGTGAGACAGAAGAAATTTGCTTTTTCGAATTTTAAACCCTATCCATACACTGAAATACATGTATTTTAAAAGATACAAGTCCCCTTAAATATTTTTTATCTATGCTTAAAAAATCCAATTGTGGACGGAGTAATGGACTCGAAAACATGGAGAATTAAAACTCCACTTAGATACTGTAAGGCATAGTATTTGTCAATCAATATCTCTAAAATAAGGTAAGAAAACTAATGATTTAACTGCTTTAAGATATGTGGGACATACTTAATAAGAAATATAAAAAATATTTAAAAAAAATTGAATAACGGGATTTTTTTTAGCCCAAGGTCCTTCACCTCCTCAAATAAATAAATGGTGTGCTATCCTACACACAAATAAATAAGGAACGCTGATATAAGAAATATTGCAGTTAGTTTTTACTTTGTTAATCTTTTAAAGGCGTTTAGATGAATCCTTCAAAACTGGAAAAGATTTCGTGGATAATCCACAATTGAAATCTTGCAAGGAAAATATTACCCAAGAGACGACAGACATAACAACTAACTATCTCTGTGAACCTTGCCAGTTTGAAGGTAAACAAGTGCCGGCAACCCAGTTTTGTCTTGATTGTGAAGAACCAGAGCCATTTTGTTATCCTTGTGGTCAACAACATTTACGTCAAAGGGTTGGAAGGGGTCATAGACTGTCACAGAGCATGCAATTATTTAAGTCAAAGCAAGAAGCAGTGCCTGCTAAACCTACTCTAAGGTATGATTAAGTAACAAATTGTACACAATTGAACGATGATACAATGATACTTCATAGTAAAGATATCCTTTAACTTTTAAAATTTTCTATTTCCTAGTTTGGATAGTGGAACAAATGTAGAAAAGCCCATCACTTCAAATGACGTGAGTTAAACAAATAATTGATCCAAAAATTACAATGGAAGTAGTAATTAAGATGATTCTTATTTAAGGTAACATCTGTGTGCTAGCAGTAAAGGAAGCATATATATGACCAATTTTATCCTCATTTTCTTTCATATTCTCATTTATTGTTTTAATTTCAAGGGCTAATGTTTGTAATATTTCTATGGTAATTTAAACTTGGTGTAGATATTAGCTGATAATGTAGAAATAATAAATTAAATACTGCCTGATGCTTATTTGTCAAACTCTTCTTACAGACACCTGGTAAACCATTAGCGGACATCATCAAATCAGATTCTGTTAAGCTGCATTGGCGAAAATGCAATGATGTAGACTGCTATCAAATACGATACAAAAGTAAAGACGGAAAAGAAAACTGGAAACTAATTCAGACTGACAGCAACAAAAATGAAATTACCATTGAAGGTCTAATGGCTGACACAACATACATTTTCCAAGTCCGAGGTGTCAGGGGTGACATTGAAGGTTCCTACAGTCAGGCTAACGAAGAAATAAGAACACAGGAATCTCTGGCTTCGTATCTCCTTAACTTCTCAATTCAGATGAGCAAAGGGAACCCTTCAAAATTCGAGTTACCCTTTCATGAAAACCCAAAGGCTAGAAACAAACATTATAAAATACGTCAAATATGCCTAGGTATAAAAAGTGCTTTTATTAATATACTAGTACCTTAATGTCCTTCTAAATAATTTAAAAAATACCTCTTATTCTGACTTACAATTCCAATTTATAGGAGAAAGGAAAAATTTAAATCAGGACGAAGAGAAAACCATAATGTTAGTTGGTGCAACTGGATCGGGCAAAAGCACGCTTGTAGATGGCATCGTTAATTATGTGACAGGCGTAAGCTTTGAAGATCCTTTCCGATTTACTCTTGTGAAACTAGAAGATGAAGAGCGACGCAAAACAGGAAATCAGGTGAGCATTCGCTGCCTCTGAAAGAAAAATACGACATCATAAAATCTAAACTTTAAAACTCAAACCTAGATTTAACAGTTGCTTGAGTTGTCATACTATAATAGTAATAATAAACTGAAAAAAAGTTCATCTAAGAAACATACCATAGGACCTCCGACAAAATTGACGAATTTGATTACTGTATACAGGATAACACTTGAGGACGATTGCGCCCTATTCGATTAGGATTGTCGAATTTGTTCGAGATTCTTTAGTGTGGTTCTTAGATGACATTTTCATTTTCAAAACGTTTGTCACTTGATAATACCTATGAGATAAAAATTAAGAAGGGACAATTGCCGTTACGTTTATCTCATTTTTTTCCCAATGTTATCTTGCATGTACTTTTCTTTGCAAAAGTTGTAAAGAGTTTTGACATGATTTTCAAGTTCAAGTCAAATAACCCAATTGCCTTCGTAATATTATTAGAATGGAAAAAAAAAACGAATAACAATGAGTATACAATGTATTAGGACTATTGTTGTAAATATTTATTTTTTAGGCAGTTTCTCAGACAGAATGGATAACGGTTTACAAAATTCCACCACATAAAGGAGGACGGCTGGACTTCACATTGAACATTATAGATACCCCAGGCTTCGGAGACACCAGAGGAATTGACAGAGACAACAATATTGTAGACCAAGTCAGATATCTTTTCTCTGCAAAGGGAGATGAGGGTGTCCTTTTCTTGGATTCTGTTTGTTTTATTGTTAAGGCACCTGATGCTCGCCTCACTCCTGTTCAGAAATATATATTTCATGCAATCATGTCCCTTTTTGGAAAAGATATCGAATCAAACATCTGCACATTGATAACATTTGCTGATGGCGCAGATCCTCCTGTTTTGGCATGTTTAAAAGAAGCTAAACTTCCTTATGGAAATACATTTCAATTCAACAACTCTGCACTATTTGCAACGAACAAGAATCTCCAGAGTAGCTCTCTGTCCCCGTTTTTCTGGGAAATGGGTTGCAAAAGTTTCGAAGCATTCTTTATCAATCTAAAGAAATTTGAAACAAGGAGCTTGTCGCAGACAAAAGATGTCTTGCACGAAAGAGAACAACTGAAAACCATTATATCTAATTTAAGACCTCAAATTACAGCCGGATTATCGAAACTGAGTGAGGTGAGAGAAGAATTAGACCTTTTCAACAGGCACAAAAATGATATTGAAAGCAATAAAGATTTTACTTATGAGGTTGAAGAAACGAGGCAGATCAAATCAGACTTGCCTGCAGGCCAGCATGTTACAAATTGTCTGCAATGTCACGTAACTTGCCATGAAGGCTGCCGCATAGCTGACGATGACGAAAAGATGAAGTGTTGGGCAATGACTGATGGCTATTGCAGAATATGCTCAGGAAATTGTTATTGGGATCAGCACAAAAACACCCCATACATATTTTCATACAGGACAGAGACAGTCACTAAAACCTATCAAGAAATGAAGAATAGATACGAGAAAGCAATTGGTGAAAAACTAACTCACGAAAAGTATCTTACAGAATTGGCTGTTACTGTTGATGAGCTCATGGACGATATAATAGATAAGGTGGACGAAATGAACTCCTGCAAGACAAGACTGAAAGAGATTGCATTAAGACCAGACCCACTTTCTACTGTTGACCATATAGATCAGATGATTCAAGCAGAAGAGTCTGAGAGGCAGCCTGGATATACCAAGAGGATCAAAATGCTTCAAGAAATGAGAAAAATGGCATTAGTTGACAAAGAATATCAAAATTTAGACCAACATTTTCGCAGCACACGCAATGACATAACCAGTGCCGTCGGCAAAGATATTCAACCTAAGCGTACTCGTCGACAAGTAAGAAGAAAGGAAAAACAAGGAGCTTTTGCAAATATATTTACAAAATTATTTGGATAATTTACTGATATTACAATTTGTCACCAAATGTTTCATTGGTGTTTAAATGAAACATGACGTGGCAATACGAAAATTCAATTTAAGAAATCAGAACCATATTTTTATTGGGGAAAAGTGCTATTGCATATTATTTTCTGGGCTCACGCTATCGGTGTTTTTATAATGTACACCGATTATACAATGCGATATAAAGGACATTTTAAAAAATCTTAATTAATTAATTTTTAAGATATGTTGTTTTCTTCTTAGGGTTCCCTCACTGTAGTTTCATGATCTACTGTGTGTTGTAGAAAAAAAAATCTAGTGATTATTTATTCTTTGGCAAAGTTTGAGTAACATGTAGATGAATTTTGTAGTGGCACAGTTTGAAGTATATGCAAGTAAGGTTGTTACTTTAATAAATATTCATTTTGTATTTGCCAATTATGCGCTATCTTTATATTTCATTGTTAGATTCCTTAGAACTTTAGACAAATGTAATGATTTTTATATAAATGTACGATAAGTGTTTTTGCTAGACATATCTATTAAAAATAATTATTCTAAAGAATAAGAAAGACATCTTATTTACTTAAGGAGGTTCGATCCTGAGCTTTTGAGCAGATTTTGGTCTGGACCTTTATTTATAAAATTCTGCATCATTTTTAAGTTCAAACATTAAATCTGAATTCTACAATGCAAATTAAACTATATCCAATGAAAAAACCGCGATTAAATTCCATTCAAAGAGGATTAAGCCAGGAACTATATTTTGTGGCGGAAGGTTTTTAGGAGAAAATGTTCATTTTGTCCTCTTTTGAAATATATACAGTACTGTGAAGTTTAGATTCCGATTTTTCCACGCTGGTTGCACACAGAGCTGTTTTTTGCAGTGAAATGTTTTATGCTGGTTCTGAAATATCTATTAAATTATTTCTTATGAATTCTTTCATTATATTGTGACAAATTTAGTAAATATATTCTGAAACTCCAGGAAAAAATTTAGCCAATTTTAACATAAAATTAACACTTTTTTAGTAATATCTAAAAATTTACATCATAGACCCCCACTTTTGTTTTTATTTTCTGAATATATAAGATAACTTTGACCAATCTGCCTAAATTCAGAAAAAGTTTAAGACCTTAAAAACATTTTCTTGCTTGTTAAATTTTTAATGCCAGAAAAATCACATTTTTTGAGTGCAGAAAGGTCAAATAATTGATTATGCGAAGCAATTTGAAACTTTTTCTTAGTCACAATTTTGAAGTGTCTTTTTTTAAATAGACTAATAGTTTAATTTGTCGCATGATTTATTTGGATAAAAACACTGGAGGGAAAACGTCGAATATGTGATTTTTGATTAAGACACAAATTTCAGTGCAAAAAGGTCATATTAAATGAACTCTAGCGCCAAAAGAAGCGTATTGACCCCCATTTTTTGTTTGATTTTTAATTAAGCTATGTGTGTAGAAACTAAAAATATACTTGACCAAAAAAGTTTAAGACTTTAAATATCAGGATCCAACCTCGTTAAATGCTTTTATTTTTAGGCAGATGTCTAATGATTGCATACATTTAGCGAAAAGAGAAGTAATTTTAGGATTAGAAGACTGAAGAATCAATACTTTCTCACACATCTTCATAGCATATTTTTTTTAATGCAGCCCGCAAATAGTTACTGTCTTGGGCATCATACAAGTTATACAAGTTAATATGCATACAAGATAATCGAGCTATTTTTTTTATTCTGTTCATAAGAGATTACATTAAAGCTGAACACTATTCGTATAAGAAAGAGTGCTATCTTTTGACCGGAATTACAACCAAAGTACACACAAAGAGAATTAAAATGCTAAAAGAAGTGTAGGGAATAGTACTTTTGGTAAAGAACTATGGAACCTGGATGCTAACTTCTGTAATATTTGAAATGGCACTCATGAATTTATCTCCGTGGACTACGAATTCCATGGAAAGATGTAGAATTGAGTCTCGTCTTGCACACAAAAGAGGGAATTAAAGTTTTATTTCTCTTGGAACTAACATACTAAAAAAGTGGCATAAAACTATCAGCAAGTGTTGCAGTTTCACTGGTTTAAAAAAGTTATATTATTTGGTTTTTGGATCATTCTGCTTTTTACTTGATCCATATCATTCTCAACATTATATTGTTCCTTTAGAATATTAATTAATTAATGCTATTCATCATCTGAACCACTAAATTACTGAGAAACGTTATGAGGAATTTTTTTATTGTTTTAATGATAATCAACAATGTGTTATTTAAAAATTGTGGAGTCTGTAAAAAGTGTATGCGATTCATTATTACAGCTTAGGCAAGAGACTCTCCAGAACTAGAAAAAATGGTCTGATAGGTTTTTTTTTTCTACCAAATATACAAGTACTCTGGAAATAATTCATAAATGCATGTCTAGGGTTATGACTTTATTTGTCTACTATCTTTAATTGGATTAAACTGGTTGTACGCTTTGCTCGTGATCAGAAAATAATTTAAACTTTTATTTCCTTGTTCTAGCAGGTGTAATAAATTTTTGAAATTCACCTTAATTTCTATCAAGTATGAAGATAATGAACATTTATCAAGCACAAAGGTCCTTGAAACTATACAGATTGAGGCAGAGCAAACATGGACCTCCAAATACATCAGAGGTGTGATCTATATATTCATTATATAAATGTTTTGAAGAAAAAAGTGCTGAAACGATTTAAGCTAAATATTAAATTATACTTAACAGGGATAATTCTCAAAAGACGATTTAAACAATAAAAATAACGAGCAGAGCCGACATGGACCTTTAAAAACAGAGGTGGGATCAGATGTCATGGAGGAGTAAGCATCCCCTGTCGACCCTTATACCTGCTGTGTTTCGTACACAATTCAGTGTGAAAGAAATGGCCTAATAAATAAATGATTTCTATATTTCATAAAAATAAACCTGAGCAAGTCAACTTCTTTTGTTTTGGAGATACATTTATAATTTGGAATTTTCCTTTCATGAGTTTCAGAACTTTCTGAAATGTTGAACTCTGATATTCGCACATATGTTATTTCATGTTCAATGTACTTATGTATTCCTGATTGAGTACCAGATTACAGAACTTAATAATCAAATTTCAGATTTATTTTATTATGGGTATTGAAACCTGTTCCCCTGACAACAAAAGTTGTGGAAAACAAGAAGAAGCGTTGTATCGTGGTAAAAATTATGTAGGAGTTTTCTTAATACCCAGAATCCGTCACTGCACTGTTTAGTTCACAAATTTAAGAGGTGATAATATTGTGAACAGTAGTTCGCACGTTAGACGTAGAATAGCATTATATTCCGAGGGACTTTTCCATCAGAATGCATTCAACCCTAGTCTGAATTCATTTATATTTTGGATAGGTAATTGAAAAGAAAATTAAATTAAGAACTTTATTTTAAATATCACAACAGCACTTTGTAGATGATGACCAGCGGTTTATTTCAGCAACAAAATTACATTGTTAAAAATCACTCTTGATTCTAAACACAATTACTCTGAAGTTTATATCACAAGGATGCTGGAATTCCTCATTGACAAAATCTCTGTAGTCTTTGAAGACCAGGTCTTCCAACATACTGTTGGAATTCTGCTTGTAACTAATTGTGCTCCTTTTTTAGCCGACCTGCTTTTATATTACTTTGAAGCAGAATTTATGCAAAAACTTCTACATGAGAAGAAAACACTTGCTTTTTGCCTTCAACTCGACATTTAGATTTATCGACGATGTTTTAAAATTATCAATTAACAAGTTATTTTTGAATGACATATTATGTAAGGCTTTTGTTTTCATATAATTTGACTACAGAATTTTCCATCTATCTGGTCAATACATATGGCTTCCGACGGTTGTGGCCGGTCGATAGAGAATGTTTACTCCTCCTAAGCACCTAATGCCACCTCTGGAATTTTCGAAGGTTTGTGATTTTGTGCCCTGTCGACAGATTAGTATTGTCTGTATTTCTTTTCTTTTCTTTTTTCTTTCTTTTTATCTTTCTTTCTTTTTTTTTTTTGTTTTGTTTTGTTTTTTGGGTTTTTTTTGTTTGTTTGTTTGTTTGTTTGTTTGTTTGTTTGTTTTTTTGATCGATCCCTGATTGTTTTTTCTTCACCTTTTTCACTCAGCTCTAGGGTTCAATTTTTTTTTTAAATTGAAAGAATAAATTTTTTTCACAAATCTTTTTTCTTATAGAAGCTTTATTAAAGTACAGTAATCAAACAGTAACATTTAAACTCACACTATGTACGACTTCAGTATCTGAAAAACAGGCACTTAAAAATGCCTAAGAATATTTTTTTCGCTCAGATCAAGAGACCGAAAAAATAACTTTAAAAATGAATACAGTAAGGTAAAAAGTAAATTTACAAACATCAGATATTTGATTTAAACTTTGAATGTTATTTTTTTAAACCTTAGAAAGTAACACATAACTCTTAAATCATTCCCCCCTTCCGACCATTCAATTACAGAGTGCTAGTCCGCCACGTACAACAATTGCAGCTCGATTTCTACGATGCATTAGGTTTATCAGTCTCTTGATCTGAGCGAAAGAAATATTCTTGGGCATTTTTAGGTGCCTGTTTTTCAGATACTGAGGTCGAATTTTCTCTAACTAGGCGTAGTGTTGTAACCCTTGGACTTCTGGAAACGCATGAGCCTGATGAGTCGTTATGTAGTGCATATTTGCATCTGCAACTCTCCTTTGCCTTTATTTTGAGAATTTCCAGCAAGAACAATGAAAATGCGTGTTTTCATTCATTTTGAGGAAATACTGGCATCACATCGGGAAAAGAAAGAAGGATTTTTTATTCGAAATATTAGTGCAATACTTATGATTAACAGCTACACACCCTTGAAAACCCAAATTATTGTTAAATGTTTTCTTAATCATGCATTTTTGATTTCTGTTAAGAGGGGTCAAAATCAACTTCCGGTAATGGAATGAAAATCAATCAACCGTGAAATTACTGACAAGGCAAAGTTGAAGATGTTCTAACTTTTTAAGTAGAAAGTTATAACCTGTATATATCTTCCCCTAAAAATAACCTGTATATATCTTCCCCTAAAATTAGGATGTTGCGTTTCTTTTGCGTTTCAGTATATATATATATATATATATATATATATATATATATATATATATATATATATATATATATATATATATATATATATATATATATACTGTTGACCAACTTTTATTCGTGTGCGAGAAAAATCCGCGAGTTTC